ACATCAAACGTGGATTTTCTACACCAAGCAATTCTCTACAAGTTTTTGCTGATGCTAATTGTCCTGTAGTTCAGTTCTGGCACTAAGTAACTGGAGTTAGTGCATACCCCACAGGTTAAGGGTTCAGTCCCACAGGACTGTTCCCCAGTTCTGACACCTTTGTAAGTAGTGGGTCCTCAGGTTACCCACACTTCTGTCCAACTTAGCTACAAACCAGGGTTTCCCAGAATCCCTTCCTCAGTTTTGAAAATTTGCTACAACAGCTCATAAAATCAAGGAGACATTTACTTATGTTTACCAGTTATTGTAAAGGATACAGATGAACAGGCAGATGAAGAGATACTTGTGTGTTTTTTTAAAATATATATCTTTATTGATTTCAGAGAGAGGAAAGGAGAGGGAGAGAGATAGAAACATCAATGATGAGAGAGTCATTGATCAAGCCCACAACCTGGGCATGTGCCCTGACTGGGAATCAAACCCTGATCACCTGGATCCTAGATTGACGCTTAACCGCTGAGCCAAGCCCTGCCGGGCAAGAGATACTTGTAAGGTGAGGTCTAGAAGGGTCCCAGATGTAGGAGCGTCTGTCCCTGTGGAGTTGGAATTTACCACCCTCCTGGCATATGGATATGTTCATCAACCCAGAAGCTTTCTGAACATGTAGTTTAATTTTTATGGAAGCCTTATCATGTAAACATCCCTGGAGGGTGAAGGTTGAAAGTTCTAAGCTGCTAACCATGGCTTGGTTTTTCTGGCAACCAACCCCCACCCATCCTGGAGCCATCCAGGAGCCAACCAAGAGAAGCCTCATTAGAACAAAAAATACTTTTATCACTCATGGAGTTCTAAGTGATTTTGGAGCTCTGTGTAAAATGATCCTATCGCCCCTATCACTTAGGAAATTACAAGGGTTTTAGAAGCTCTGTGTCAGGAACAGAAGGTAGATTATGTCACAGGTAGACAAAAATTTCTTAAACTGGACCCCAAAATCATTAACCATAAAAGAACAAACTTGATAAATCAGACATCATTAAAATTAAGAACTTCTGTTTATCACAAGACACTTGAGAGAGTGCAAAGGTGAGCTGTAGACTGGGATATGATAATTGAACCACTTATTTCCAATAAAACGTTAGCAGAAACGTAGAGCTGTTACAGAAGTGCATATCTTGATGGCCAGTAAGAATATGGAAAGGTGTTTAACAACATTAGTCACAAGGGAAATGCAAATTAAAATCATAAGATATTCAGGGTCCATTGCATTCCTGTGGAGCCTGTGGGCAACAGGGTGTCACCTGGGCTTTATTTCTAGTGACCTCTCGCGTTCATCTCCAATTTGGTACTAAGGTGTGATCATTTGTTACCTCTGCAAGTGAGCTAGACTGTAAGATGCTGCAGAGTAGATGGGATTAGGGCATGGGCCCTGCAGCCTCAGCACCAGGGAGGAAGGCCATGGCCCTGGGAACACTTGGACATTTGTTCTGGAGCAGGACAGAGAGGTTTCTCAGTGAGCCAGGATGGAGGGGTAAAGATGGTGTTTCTGAGGCCCAAGGAAGTAGTGTTGGGATAAGAGAAGGAACAGGCTGGGGGCTATGATAGCCTCCAGGTCCAATGCCTGAGGACCTCTGTGTGCTAAGCTTGAAGTTTGCCGTCTGCTGGTTTACTCTTCACAAACTCCAGCCCCCTGTTGGGTGAACTGCTGGGTAGTCCTCTTTTTGACCAGAGTCCCACCAGGATACAGGCTTGGCCATGGGGGTGGTGCTGATACTTCGGCTCGAAGTTATCTGTCGACCCCATAGACATGGGTTTATGAGACCTGAAGTCACTGTCTCCTAGGAGCTCCCCGTCATACCATGTGTGCCCTGTGTTACTGCAGCTTTACCCGCATGGCATTCTAGTTTTGTTTGTTTTTGGTGTCTGTGCCTCTTGGTTTTGGTATGTTTGTTTCCTGTATATTGGTGTTCTTACATCACCCTGGTGGAAAGTACATCTGTGCCATGTACCTGGTGGCTCGAGCTGTGGGCTGTAAACACACTCTCACAGAGCTGGTGGTCTTGGGCCTGTGGTAGTGCAGACACTCGCTAGTCTGGTGTTTACCACTGTTATTTTTATTGTTCAGAAATACAACTTTCCAGCTAGTCAAAATTGTTGAACTTTTACTTTGTAATCCTTTCACTCCTTCAGTCCTTATTAAGCAAGTATGTTCTATATCTGGGGTAGATGTTCTCTTTGCTTTCTACTGGTTTCCTGTGGCCTACTGTCCATGTGGTCTCCTAATTCAGACAATGCCACACTGATTGCTACATTACTCCCCAGCTGCCTCTGCACTCATCGCAATGCTCCTGTCCGGCTGCCTCTTAGTAACTGTTTTTCTGTGTAATAAACATCTGCCCATAAAATATTATACACCCACCAGAATGTTACGAATTAAAAAGACTGGAGCTTCCCGTGGCGGTGGAAGGGTCTGGGGAAGGAGTAGCAGGCACCGTGTTTAGCCAAGAAGGTGGCAAGAAGCAGGCCAAGGACATGGACAACGAAGATAAGGCATTGGAGCAGAAGCAAAAAGAGGAGCAGAAGGAACTAGAGTAGCTAAAAGCGAAGGTTGCAGGAAAGGGCCCCTTGGACACAGGTGGAATTAAGAAATCTGGCACCTGGCTGGTGTGGCTCAGCAGTTGAGCATCGACCTATGAGCCAGGAGATCCTGGTTTGATTCCCAGTCTCAGGGCACATGCCCAGATTTTGGGCTCGACTCCAGCACGGGGCGTGCAGGAGGCAGCTGATCAATAACTCTCTCTCATTGATGTTTCTATCTCTCCCTCTCCCTTCCTCTCTCTGAAATCAATAAAAACATATATTTTTTAAAAATCTGGCAAAAATGAGCTGTTCCTTGTGCCTGGGGCAGTGGTGATCCGTAATTCTATTCCTGTTTGAACATCTGGATTCTCTGTCAATATCTGTTGTCACCTATAGAATGAAGTGTTGCCTTGGAGCCTATTGTACATTTAAGAATAAACTTCTGTAAAAATAATAATCATGCAGTGGCTCATCTCTTTAGTTCTTTTCACTCTGTCCTTTCAGTCTTGCTGTGAGGTCAGAGTAAACCCAGTCCAAAGTCTTGCCAGAGTGTGTTCTTCAGTCTTTGTTCTATCCAGAATTCTGTACTGCCTGTAATTAAACAAATTCATTAAAAAAAAAAAAAAAGCAAAGCACCAAGTGTTGGTGTAGATATGGAGGAACTGAAATGCTCGCCCACTGCTAGGGGCAGGGCGGTATGTAGGATTGTATTCCTAATTTGGAAAACTGGCAATATCTACCAAAGCTAAATTTATGTTTCCCTTATGATCAACAGTTCCACTCCTGGATACTCAAGAAAAATGAGCATCTGTGTCCTGCAAATGACATTGTTCATAGCAGCTTTATTCGCGCTAGCCCAAACCTGGTAGCACAGTATCTGTGAACAGGACAAATAAAGAATGAATGACCACTATACCCAACAACATGGATGCCTCTTCCAGATGAGCAAAAGGACAACTACTTGTGTCATTTTCTTTTCAAATGCAGTTCAATAGCAAGTGAAACTAATCTACAGTGATAGGACAGTGGTTTCAACTGGGAAAGGAACTGAGAGTGCCTTCTGGAATGTTGGAAATGCTATGTCTGATCTAGGATTCATCCAGATATGTACATACAATCAGGGCACTTTAGGTATGCCCTGATTGTCATTGCAAGTCATTACAGATAATTAAAATAAAAATCCGCTCCTCAGTACTACACTGAGAACCAGAGAGCTGCTCCCAGTTCCATTTTCCTGTTCACCACCATGACGGTGCTTGTCCACATGTGGCACCAGCACCCTGATTGGGCTCCTCAGTGTTTGACAGAGCTCTACCCTTTGTGCTGCTTGGAATGGTTTTGTATTGTATCTGTACTTTTTTTGGTCCCCATCACTGTTACTCCCTACATGTGTCTGAGCTTTTACTCCAGAAACGAGTTTGCTGCTGATGGTGTCTCTGTGCACTTACCTGCTTTATTGCAGCCTAACTCTTTAGAGGTGGCAGCTTCTGAAGCAAATATTTTTAAAAGTGTGTCATGAAACCCTGTGCTTCTCTCAGAAGCGGACAGTGTCATACTTAGGCACATAAATCTTTTTTGATGCCCTTCAGTGTCTTTGGTGGGTGCTGTGTTGTCGATGAACTTAGCCCTGCTCGGTGGAGGCAGTTAATTTCTGGAGGTATCACGTGCATTGATGGGAAGAAGTGGGAAGGTCTGATTATAAGTATAAACTATCTTTAGAAGAGCCATCATTCCAAAGGTACTTCCCAGTGTTTGCTTGTCAGCATGTCTGCCTTTGGATAGGGAGATGATGTTCCTTAGGTGGTATGGGTTCTATTTTGCTGTCAGTTTCAGTTGGCTTGACTTAGAATAGAGACCTCCATGTGAGAAAGAAACCGTGAGTTGATGGATGCTGCAGGATTCTTTAAGGATTTGCAGAACCACCATTCCTCTTCCCATTTCACTGCAGTGCTCTGTGGGCCTGAGAGGGCCTGTGGACATGAAGGGGACAAAGAGAAGCCCTTGGGGAGCCATCATCTTTTGCCCAGCTGTGCCATGTCAGTGTTGCTTGGTTTCCCACCTGTGAAGCGTGACTGCAGGTGCGTCCTCCTGGTAGACAAACCCCTGGACCAGAAGTTTCAGACTCAAGAATCATGATTTTAACAAAGGAGATACAGAATACATGACAGAGACTGGGGTGGAGTCTCGGGATCAACAGGATTCTGTTTTGGTGGCAGAATGTGTGAATATTTACACAGAGCTGAATTAGGTCAGATGTGGCTTCCAAATGGCTTTGAAATGAGTTTGTCTTAAATGTATATATATTTTATTTTTAATTTTTTATTGATTTGAGAGAGGAAAGGAAAGAGAAGGAGAAACATTGATTTGTTGTTCCACTTATTTACACATTCATTGGTTGTTTTTTGTATGTTCCCTGGCTGGGGATTGAACTTACAACCTTGGTGTATTGGGATGATGCTCCAACCAACTAAGCCACCTGGCCAGGGCTGTATATATTGTTAAAAGTTTGATTTTGTTTCCCTGAACTTATTGGATTTGGATTTATGAAGAAGGGATTGTGAGCAGACACAAATTCTCCAGTACTCTTGTGAGGTTGATTTAAGGTCCAGCACTGAGGCTTCTTGAGCTTCGGATGAAATCTGGAGCCCAGAGGATGGAGGAGCATTTTCTCCATGTTGGGGTCTCTTCACAGTCAGGCTGATGTGTGGCCACTGGTTTCTGCCTAGCCAAAGTTTCTGATCCTCTCTGCTCCAATTATTTGGTCATGAAACTGGAACAAAGAAGTTTGGGCTTTTGATTTATTATCAAGGAAAATGCCTCCACCTTTCAAATTAAATCAAGAGAATTAAAAATGTTCCTGAACTTCTTACCAGGATTTATTCCTTAGAACCAGAAATGCTGGGTAAAGTCTAGGGGCAGTAAGACTCATTGTAAAAACCAAATAAATCCCCAGAAACAAACCAGATTTGTGACATGCCAAGAGGAGAGTGGCTTTTCAGTAACTCAGGATGCACGGGATGAGAGAATGGGGGGGGGGTGTTGAAGTCTATTAAATTATGAAAATCCTCATAGCTATGATTATATGAAAAAAAGCTTGCCTACAATGTGCTGAGTAATTTTTTGAGAGAGTGTGTGTGTTTGTGTATGAGGGTGTGTCTGTGTGTGTCTGTATGTGGAACAGTGTAGAAGGACTGATGCACTGAAGTGTGACGGGGTCCCAGAGACACCACTAGGGCATCTCTCCGTCCTAAGAGGGCCCACCCTGGATGTCTCAGGTTCATCCTCACCACTCTGGGGGTCTCTGAAGGTCTCTTGGAAGCCCTCCAGCCCTCTCCACACACCTCCTGCACCATGCTGGGAAGGGTAAGAAGGGCACGGTTGCTTCTTCCTTTCTCTAGGACCAGCAAGCACTTATTTCTGTGTCTGGTAGGATTTTAAGCTTCTGTATTCTCTTTGTGTTTTCCAGATTTCACCACTGAGACTGTATTACTCCATCATGATGAAAGAGGTTATTAAAGAAAATTTTATTTAAGGCCATCTAACCACATAACTGATTAAGGGTTACTTGAAAATTGAACCCTTGTTGTAGGAAGCATTTATAGAATTTATCAGCTCATGATTCTTCTTAGCAAGAATAATTTATCAACATCATTGAATTTTTTTTTAGTTCATTTATGGAGTTGTTAGAAGCTTTGGGTCATAGCTCTGGGTGACAGTTTTTAGTTTACAATAATATTTATTAAACTTTAGACACTTGATTATCACTCTCAAAATATTTGAGGTATCTGAGTGCCATTATTTATGTAATACTTCTTTTTAATTGAACCTGCTTTTTAAACTTATTTTCTTTTTATTTTTTTAAGTATGTTTTTATTGATTTCAGAGAGAGACGAAGGGAGAGGGCGAGAGAAATAGAAACATCAATGATGAGAGAGAATCATTAACCTGCTGCCTCCTGCTCTCCCCCTACTGGGGATTAAGCCTGCCGCCTGGGCATGTGCCCTGACAGGGAATCAAACCTCAGTCTCCTGGTTCATAGGTTGACGCTCAACCACTGAGCCATGCCGGCTGGGCAAATTCAGTTATTTTAAAGGAAACTTGGTCTCACTGCCTTAAGTGGAAAACCAGTATTACTGAGCACGACTATTTGTTTTTGTTGACTTTATGAGGGTCCAGTCAGATGCTGTTGCTGGCAAAGGCTTTGAGCCTTAGTCATGCTGTCCATTTTTGTTAAATTGGAGGGTGAGCAAGCATTAGAGTGGTGTGCAGATCAGTGCCACCCTTTGTTGTAATCAGAAAGATGGCAAGGAAAGCAAAGCTCTCCTGCCCCCCCTTGTTCTACCCCTTCCTCGGGACTCTTATCTGATTTTGTGTGTCTGATGTATGACCTCCTCCCAGAGGAATGGAGGAGAAAGGTCTAGGCGGCAGGCACTTGCATGTCAAAGGTGCCAGCTCCCTGTCAGATGGGTGCTTCTGACATAACTCTGGTCCTCTCACAATGCCCTGACCCACCCAGCTGATGGCCATTACCCTCAGACTGACCTCCACTTCTCTCTAGCAGGAGACCACTGTCCAGAGCTCCTGTGAAGATGTCCACTCCAGACCCACCCCTGGGTGGAACTCCTCGGCCCGGCCCTTCCCCAGGCCCTGGCCCCTCCCCTGGAGCCATGTTGGGCCCTAGCCCGGGTCCCTCCCCTGGCTCTGCCCATAGTATGATGGGGCCCAGTCCAGGGCCTCCCTCAGCAGGACACCCCATCCCAAGCCAGGGGCCTGGAGGGTACCCTCAGGACAACATGCACCAGATGCACAAGGTAAGGAGGCCTGGGCCCACTGCTCTGACTGGCTGGGTTTTCTCAGTTAGAGACGGGAGGATGAGCCATTCGTTCTGAACCCTGCTGTGAGCTGACAGTCATCATTTCACCCAACTCCCCCCACCCCTGGGTATCTCTCATACCCATTGTTCTAGGTGGGAAATGTGGTAATATTACTCCTAAATTGCTTTTTTTTAATGAATAAAAATTTCTAAATCGCTAAAAGATTGCTTAAGGCAAGTGGACTCCTCCACTCTTGTTGCTCTGTGCACCCCAGGTAACCCACAGAGCAGGGCAGTTGTCCTCATTTGGTCACCACATACCTGACCCAAGCAGGACTGCTTTTGCCAGTGAGGTGAAAAAAACCTCTCAACACAAATAGTTTCTTCTTTCTCTGTGTTCCTGGGAGGTGGTTGGAGGAAATGAGGAACTATCCTCTTACATGTATTAGCATCTGCAGAAAAGGGTGCCATTTGCTAGCCTCAGGGACCACAGGAGACCCACAGGTAGAAGATGCAGATGGTGCGGCCTGGGGGTGAGGGGACCCTGGTAACCCTCTGGGCTCCCTACCTGGGCTTTCCATGTGTTTGCACCCCATTCTGCTCTCCACCCCCACCCATCAGGTATAGGTGAGTGTTATGCCCATTTTATAGACAAGGAACCAGGGTCTCAGAGAGATGGGCACTCAGTGAGTTAGTGGCAGAGTCATCTCATCCCTCTGCTGCTCCCTGTGCCCCTGGCCTGTGCCACCTCAGTGGGCTCCAGCACAGCCAAGCACCCCCATCCCTGCCCTCCCATCTCCTGTATATTTCTGTCAACTTTGGTACAGTATCTGTCTTGTCACTGCCTTCCTGGGAAGTTGTTGGTGACTATCCTCTCCACACACAACACTGATTTAGGCCAGCTTCTCCTCCAGCATAACCCCCCTTTCCCTCTCTGCCCATTTTGTTTTTTCCTTCTAGAACCACTTATACACACTCCAAGTACATTTACAAACATCTCTCAGAGGCCTACTGTGTCTCCAGCCTAGTGTCCAGAGCCTAGGAGCCAGGGTCTGGTGATGATGGGGCACCTCTTGTCTGTACAAAGCTCCCGCTCTGTGTGGAGGCAAGCCCATTGGGCAGGCTCCCACCCAGGGCTCCTGTCAGCCTCCCGAGGGCCCCACCCTTTTTCTGTGTAGACAGTTGCCCCTCATGTCCCAGCCAGGCACCCTCTTGGCCTCCTCTCATACTGTACACATACTGAGCTGCAGGTGACTTTGCTGGGTCACCATTTAAGTTCTCGGAGAGCAGGACATTTGCCTTGACCAGGGCTATCAGAGTGTCCTGGAAGGGTCTTAGAAATGTCCCCTTTACCAGCCATTCCTGTAGGGGAGTGCTTAGTGCTGAACATTAGGAGGGAAAAAAGGTGTCATCGTTCTGCCAAGCTCTGATAGGGCCTCCTAGGAGGGACAGAGTGATGCTGTAGATAGCCTCCCTTCCAGCTAGCAGGCAGGAGGCCAATCTTGGATCAGTTAAGACATCTGATGTTTTGTTATACTCATGGGCAGAGGTTTCTGTCTGTCCCTCTGATTTACAGTCTCCCAAGGAAGAGGGTCCCTGATCTGAAGATTTGTGGTGATAAGGTCTTCTTGTGACAATTACAGTGAGTCCTGAGTCCTAGCTAAAACTGCCCCTGACCAGGACCTGTCACTTGTGTCCTTTCCTTGTGGGATTCTGGCCATCTGAAACTATCTGCTACTCTTGCTGGGTGCCCTGATCTGATTGTCCTCTTGCCTTTCAACCACCGGTCTCCTAGGCAGTCACCCTCCATTGGTTGTATCTGCTTGACACCTAAGAAGCTGCCCGAACCATGTCTTGGACCTAAACTGCTTGGTCATGTTTGCAATTCAGTAAATGCCATGATGTTTTCAGTGATGTTGAACTTGGGCTGTGCTTTGCTGTACCACCTCATCCTGTCCCTGCTTGCTAATCCTGCTTTGTCGTTAATCCCCTTTTACAGCCAATGGAGTCCATGCATGAGAAGGGCATGTCAGATGACCCCCGCTACAACCAGATGAAGGGGATGGGGATGCGGACAGGGGGCCATGCAGGGATGGGGCCTCCACCGAGTCCCATGGACCAGCACTCCCAAGGTATTATTTTGTTTCTCTTCTTTTCTCATGTTTGTCACCCCTAGGAGTCCTAAGGTCATTTTCCTAACCTCTCAGTATGAACCATTAGCAACTTACTGAAAGGTGGGCCATGCAAAACCAACCACACTGGCTGCTGGTCAGGTTGCCAGTGTGTGCCCTTGAGTGCCTCTTGTTTGAGTCACAGTGAAAAAATTTGGCCATCCCATGTCTCAGGGTAGGTACCAGTGTAAGGCTGGCAAAAAGGTTATTGTCTTTGCCTTAAAAATCACTGGATGTGTGCTCCCAACTGACCTCTCAAATCTTTATCTCCTACAGGTTACCCCTCACCACTGGGTGGCTCCGAGCACGCCTCTAGTCCGGTTCCAGCCAGTGGCCCATCCTCGGGCCCACAGATGTCGTCTGGACCAGGAGGGGCCCCGCTGGATGGCGTTGACCCCCAGGCTTTGGGACAGCAGAACCGGGGCCCGACACCATTTAACCAGAACCAGCTGCACCAGCTCAGAGCTCAGATCATGGCCTACAAGATGCTGGCCAGGGGGCAGCCCCTGCCTGATCACCTGCAGATGGCGGTGCAGGGCAAGCGACCAATGCCTGGCATGCAGCAGCAGGTGCCAACACTACCTCCACCCTCTGTGTCTGCAACAGGACCTGGCCCTGGCCCTGGCCCTGGCCCTGGGCCCGGCCCAGGACCAGCACCTCCAAATTACAGCAGGCCCCATGGTAAGGCCCACTACCCCCAGCCCTCAGGGAAGGGAGGGGTCTCAACACACTGACTAAATTGGGGCAGCAGTGTCGGGCAAACTTGGGCTCTGCTGCCTATAGATTTCCCCCTTGGGGCTGGCATAGTGCCTGGTGCTCAGGGCGCACAGGTAGGCAAGGCTGCTTTCAGGATAAAAGTTCTTTCTCCAGCTCCCCCTCTCTCCCTTGATGCCCACATTGAGTGGCTTGTTGGGTGTGTCCCCTGGAAACAGGACTGCCCACTGGGGTGGGTAAGGGATGAACATAGGACACATTTTAGCTTATTGTTTGTTTTTCCCTGTGTGTAGGTATGGGAGGGCCCAACATGCCCCCCCCAGGACCCTCAGGTGTGCCCCCCGGGATGCCGGGCCAACCGGCTGGAGGGCCTCCCAAGCCATGGCCTGAAGGTGAGTTCCCTCTGTCTTGGTGACATTTCTGTGCCCTGATTCCTGTCACAAGCTTATGTTGTGTGGACCTTGAGATGAGCCTGGCTAGAGAGAGAGAGCCAAGGACAAGTCCTTGTTTCTTCCTGCTGTCTTTTTTGTGTCTTACCTATCCCTGGTTATTTCCTAAAGGGTTAGGTTGGTTTCACTCCTCCCTTGTCCTGTCCTGTGAGTCACTTACGGAGATCCTGGGAGTCTTTGATTTGTTAACAAGAAGAGAAGGATATGAATGAACAAGTCCACTGTGACTCCAGTGAGAGGCAATGGGGAGGCATGGCTGCAGCCACAGACATGACGCTTCAGGACATGATGCCTACAAGCCTATAGGCCACAGCTGACTCCCCCTTCCCTCCTGTAATACTCCCTAACACTATGGGAGGCCGGCAAGATAACAGGGTGGCTCAAGGTTCTGTCTCCTCACTGTGTGCAGCTTCTCTTTCTTCTACCAAATGTAGTCATCAGCAAGTATTTGAGGGTCAGTTTTGGGTGGAAGCAGTAGACAAAATGGACTTGTTTCCTATCCTCTTAGAGTCTGGGGTTTAGTAATAGGCATAGACAAGCTAATCACTTAAATCAGATTTCATCTGAACCGTGGGAGATGGAAATCAGAAAATCTTTCTTGCCCAGAAAGACTGAACTCAGGGTCGGCACTTGGATCAGTGCAGGGCTTCCAGAAAGGGCATGTAGGCTGAGGTCTGGAAGAGGCTTGAACCTTGAGGCAGGAGAGAGGAGACCCCTGAATGAGAAGCTGCCTGCCATGTCAGGTCAGTGAGAGGTGAGGAGATGGGGAGGTGTGGCCTACGCAGTTTGTCCCCGGGGCAGTGAGCACCAAGCAGGCTTTTTATTTCCCCTTGGAATTGACCTGGAGCTCAGTGTTGTGCTCCTACTACCTGACTTTCCCCAGGACCTATGGCAAATGCTGCTGCCCCCACAAGCACACCTCAGAAGCTGATACCCCCTCAGCCTACCGGCCGCCCCTCACCTGCGCCTCCTGCTGTCCCGCCCGCTGCCTCTCCTGTGATGCCTCCCCAGACTCAGTCGCCAGGGCAGCCTGCCCAGCCTGCCCCCATGGTACCGCTACACCAGAAGCAGAGCCGCATCACCCCCATCCAGAAACCCCGGGGCCTGGACCCTGTGGAGATTCTGCAGGAGCGGGAATACAGGTGAGAGCACTGTTGCCAACTGAGTCAGCCCTGACAAACGTTGGTGTGGTTCACAGTTCCAAAGGCCAACGGGGTATGCAACCAGAAATCACCGCACACCTCTCTCTCCAGGCTCCCAGCTCCTTAGTTGGTGTGTATCCTTCCCAAAAAACTGTGTGCATATGCAAGCAGACAGGTACAGGTAGCCATATTTTCCCCAAATGGTTCATGATATATGCACTGTTCCTCCCATAGTAGAGGTCATCCCCTGTCTGTCCAAAGGGCACTTTTCTTTTTTCTTGTTGCACAGTATTCTCCCTGGTGAAGATACCATCGTTTAATCAGCCAGTTCTCTGGCTGAGTGCACATTAGATTATTTCTAATTGAGTGTTAATACAGTGTCATAGTAAATGCATTTGTGTGTTTGTTTCTCTTTTCACACATGTGCACATGTGTGAGAATAAATCCCTGAAACTGGCATTGTTTGGGTACAGGGGATGTACACAGGAGAATTTCATAGATTCTGCAAAACTGCCCTCCACAGAGATCTTTCAGATATATGTTGGAGGGAGTGAAAGTACCTGTTTTTCCTTGCCAACACAGTGTATCCATCTTTTGGTCATCACACTAAAAAAACACACCAAAAAACCCTGTGAGCTCTGCAATGGATCCTTCTCACACATCACTAGTTACTGGCTGCTGTGCCAGGACCTCCTGGGTGCCATGTAGGATGCCTGGCACACGGTAGGTCTGTGATATTTCGTCTCACACTGCCGGGGGTGCCTGAGATTTACTTCCTGAGCGCCTTGCACTTCCCGTTTCCCCATTGCATTTATAACTTGTTCAGGGCAGGCCTCCCTTGTTGAATGTCAGCTCCATGAGGAAAGAGGCTGTGCCTCGTTCACTGTATATACCCAGAGGCATCAGTAAATCTTTGCCTAATGACCATCTCTAGAGTGCATTCCAGCTGTGGATGCTTTGGAGCTTCAGCCTGTGTAGCAAGGTGCCTCCCTCCAACTTGAAAATGACTTGTCCAGATATCTTCATGTTCCCCTGCTTTACCCTCCTGTCTCTGTTCCCATATACCTTCTATCTAGCAGCTCATTGGGCCACAGACACTGCAGCCCCTCCTTCATCCCCCTTTGCATAGGTGGTGCATGACCCCTTGGTTAACTGATTCATCTCAACTCCCCTCCTCAGGAATGGTTCTCCCCCCTCACTGTTAACTGCCACTTGTCTATACTTCCCTGAGGCCTCCCTGCTCTCACACTTGCCTATGCATTTTGTTTCCACACAGTAGTTGGAAGTCTCTCTTTACAACTTACATTAGTTCTATTCCCTACGTTAAAACCTGCCATGGGCTTCCATTTATCCACCTAGTAAGCTTTCTGTTCAGCCCCTACCCTATGCTTTGTCCTTTCCTATCCTACTCTCCTTGTTCGTTTGTTTATTTCTGTCTTATGGTCTTTGCTTAGGCCTCATTGCTGAGGTCACCTCCTCATAGGGGTCCTGCCCACTCCCTCACTTCTTGCCCCCTCAAAGTACTTCCCAATCTCTGGAATTACCATAGACGTTTAATTTTTTTTTTTTAAGCCACCTGAGGATATTTTTTCTATGGATTCTTAGATAGAGTGGGAGGGAGGGAGGGAGGAAGGGGGAGAGAGAGGGGGAGAGACACATCTATTAGTTGTCTCCAGCACGCGCCATAACCAGTACTGCAGATTGAACCTGCAGCACAGGTATATGCCCTTGACACTTCGGTGTGCGGACCACAGCTCTAACCACTGAGAGACACCAGCCAGGGTCATAGGTGTTTAATTTTTTAACTCCTTTATGGCTCGTCTTCCCAATAAGGCTGTGGGCTTTTAATAAACATGTGTAAAAGACTGAGTAAGGGGATTGCCCCATCTGACTTTAGACCCAGCCTAGAGGTTGCTCTCAGGGATCTCCCCAGTTCATAGACGTGGACACTGAAGCTCCCAGGCCAAGTAGATTCTCAGGGCTTGGAGGGAGAGCCTGGCCTGCTTGACTCCAGAGGCTGGCTCATGCTGCTGAAATAAGTCAGCTGTGCCCTGCCTGGTTTTCTATTTGCTGTAGCTCTAAGTCCTCTGTGGCTGCCTTCCTGTGTGTTTTGTGGCTGGATCCTTTTCTGAGCCATCTCCTGCCTCCCTCAAAGGATGGATTTTTATGAGGCTCCAGCTTTAAAGAAAGGGCATAGGTGGGCTCCTCGTAAGCAGTCCTCTCATTCATTGCCTGTCTTTTTTTCTGTCTTTGCACCCCAGGCTGCAGGCTCGCATTGCTCACCGAATTCAGGAACTTGAAAACCTACCCGGGTCACTGGCTGGGGATTTGCGAACCAAAGCAACCATTGAACTCAAGGCCCTCAGGCTGCTGAACTTCCAGAGGCAGGTGGGCACACACTCAGGCCTGGAGCCTTAGGAAAAGGGCCCCTTCTGCCACCCCTGATGCTTAGATTCAAATAACTGCTTGTTGGGCAATTATTAAATAAATGTTCCTTGACCATTGAAAGCAGCAGTGCCCACCTACACTTAACTAGCTTACTGTGCCCTCCTTCCTCTTCACGATCTGCACAGTGGTGGCACATTGGGTATTGCTGGTATGAGTAAGCGTGGTTCCCTAGGGCGGTAGTTACCAGCTTAAAGCAGGAAACTTAAATGGATCTGTATCTGAAGGTGCTGTACTTTTGAATGAGCCATAAGAAAAATTTTGTGTGTGGTTGAGAGAACGCAGAGCTAGAGACCTGAAGGTATAAGAGGACCTTCTGCTGGGTATCCAGAAGCAGTTGTCTCCTGACCTGTGCTTGTCCCCTGACCCTTGGGCACTTACCAGACTTCCTGCACACACACACACATTTGTGTTTATGGCATTTTGCAAGAACCCTTCTGGAGGCAGGAATGTTCTGCCTGGCTTGCATGGTATAATTGTGCATTTTGTGTGGACATTACCAATGTGTGCCCATGTTTCTCTTCCTGAAGCTGCGACAGGAAGTGGTGGTATGCATGAGGAGGGATACCGCCCTTGAGACGGCCCTCAACGCCAAGGCCTATAAGCGCAGCAAGCGGCAGTCCCTGCGTGAGGCCCGCATCACCGAGAAGCTGGAGAAGCAGCAGAAGATTGAGCAGGAGCGCAAGCGCCGGCAGAAGCACCAGGTGTGTCCCCAGCAGCTGCATAGCTTTCCCTGCTGGCCCACCTATGTACCTGGATGCTCACTGCTCGCACATTGTTGAGTCTTGTTTTGTGTCTAAACATGCTATTTCTCTTTTTTTTTGGTATGATAATAGTATTCTAGGAACTAAGAATACATTATTGAACAAAACTGAGTGGTAGGGGAAGATGGGCCACAACCAAGGGCATGTAACATGTTGGGAGGAGATAGGATATAAAGAAACACAAAGCAGCAATGGAGGGTGATGGGCAACTGTTGACACAGGATGGTTGCGGAAGTTTTTTTTGAGGAGGTGAGATCTGAGCAGAGACAGAAGGGAGCCCTGTGGATATGTGGGCAAAGAGCTTTCCAGATAGATGGGGAGGTCCAAATGCTCTGGGGCTGATACCTGCTGTGTGTTCTGTAAAAAGCAGGGATCCCTGTGTAGCCAGAGTGGAACAAGGGGGAAGGTGGGAGGAAGTGAGGACAGGGAGAGGACAGCCAGAGTGTGCTGGGCCTTGTGAATCAAGGGGAAAATTGGACTATTGCTCTGAGTGAGGTGGAAGCCTCCGTGGAGTCTCTTGAGAGGGGGAACTGATCTAAGTTAGGTTTTTACAGGATCAGTCAAGGAGACTAAAATTTCTACTGAAGTAGGATTTGGAATGATTCTCTTTGTTGTTCACTCATTATATCTTCTAAAGTTTTCCTCCAGTCAGTATCTATTACTGGTGTAGTTTAAAATAATAGAAAAAGTCAGTACTTGGTGTAGACCACTGTTAATATTTTGGTACATATATCATTCAGCCTTATTCTGTATATATATAGTAATCAAACACTGGGGTAAGCATTTTTCTTTTTTTTAAATCCTCACCCAAGGATATATTTGTTTTTTTATTTTAGAGGGAGAGGAAGGAAGAGAGAGAAAAACATCAGTCGGTTGCCTCCTGTATGTACCCCAACTGGGGATCAAACCTGCAACCTAGGTATGTGCCCTGACTGGGAATCGAACCCGCCACCTTTTGGTATATGAGACGACACTCCATCCATCCCAGCCAGGGCTGGGCTAGACATTCTTGTTTTTGAATTTTTTTTTGGCCAAGCTCTGCTATTTCCATAAAAAAAAGAAATTCTTAGCAATGGAATAACTTGGTTGGAAGGTGGGAATATTTTGAAGAGGTTAATGTTCATGTCAGCATGTCTTAGCAAGATTGGTTGCCTGTTCAATATAAAGGAGCTCCCTTCCAACCACAGTTAGAGCACAGAGTTTTATCCTCACACAGAGAACACTGAACCTTATAGGCAAGCAGTGTTACAGTGTTATTTGAATATATCCTCTTGGTTTTAAACAAGCTACCTTTAAAGTTTTGTCTCTTTCAGGGAGGTGTTACAGTGACTCCTGTGGAGTAGTCAGTCTTGTCTTGTGTGTCCTTGTAGGAATACCTCAACAGCATTCTTCAGCATGCCAAGGATTTCAAAGAATATCACCGATCAGTCACAGGCAAAATTCAAAAACTCACAAAGGCAGTGGCCACATACCACGCCAACACAGAGCGGGAACAGAAGAAGGAAAATGAAAGAATCGAGAAGGAGAGGATGCGGAGGCTCATGGTAAAATTCTGCATTTGTAACCCTGTATCCCTTTCTGTGTGTTCTGGGCTTTGCAGGGACTAGGATCTATCACCCTGCTGTATGCTGAGGCATTTTGCTGCTCAGAGTTTGAGGTGGAACAGAGAAAAAGAAAGGGCTTGGATTTGAGAGTCTGAAGGAACTGGCCTCAGACCTTTGTCCGCTCATACCAACCATTAGAATGACTGTATGATCTTAGCCAGTTAGCTGGCTGCTCTTTGTCCTCCAGAAGATAAAGGTGGCAGCCCCTTCTGGCTGTGAGCCACCAATGGTACAATCCAGATCCCCCACTCCCACCCCACGTTTCTGACCATTTATTCCTGGATGATTTTCTAATTGGGTAGATATTAAAAGGCATTACTATGTGTACAGATGCCATAGTAGTAAAGAGAAGGACACAACCCTGCCCTCAAGGGAGTTGTGCTAGTGCCTAAGGAGATAGGTGCCCAAGCAAAACACACAGTTTTGGGTGGTGGAAAGTGCACTAAAGAGAATGAAGCAGGGCAAGGGTGGGATTGGCAGGGTGTACTGAAAGAGTAGGCATGACCCACAAATCCACACATCTGGGGGAAGTGCCTCCTAGGGATTGAGGAACCAAGGTCAAGGGCCTGAGGTAGGAAAAAGGCAATTGCAAGGTACAGCAAGTGGCCCCTGGAACAGAATGGTGCAGGGGAGGAGTGAAGTCCGAGTCCCAAAGGCAGGTCATGTGGGGGCTTGCAGGCCACAGGGAAGGCTTTGTATTTCATTCTAAACATGATGGGGAGTCACAGAGGCTATAAGTTGTAGAGTGATCTGATCTGATTTATTCTTAGAAAGCTGGGGTGGGAGGGCTTACTGCAGAGGTCTGTGGAAGAGATATTGCTTGGGCCAGGTAGAGAAAAGAGTTTGGATTTGGGACATGTTTATGAATAGAGGGGACAGAACTTGATACTGCCTTTATAAATAGCTCTGGGCAGGACCATGTCTGTGCAGCCAGGTCCCGGCAGGGCCTAGCTCTGGGTAAAAATTGGGGAAATACTGAAGGGAGATGTGATAGTTATGTGAAAGGCCTACATACAGCACAGCACAGGGTGTGACTAAGAGCTCCCTTAATGTGGGTCTGATTGCTGGTTAACAATTCCCAGTGAACTTCTCAACTCTGGTTTGCCCGTCTTGGGTGCTAAGGAATGAGCATGTCTCTCAAGCAAATGCTGTATCTGCACCTTTTTTGCAGGCGGAAGATGAGGAAGGGTACCGGAAACTCATCGACCAGAAGAAGGACAAGCGCTTGGCCTACCTCTTACAACAGACAGACGAGTACGTGGCTAACCTCACGGAGCTGGTGCGGCAGCACAAGGCAGCCCAGGTTGCCAAGGAGAAAAAAAAGAAGAAGAAAAAGAAGGTACGCTGGGGACTGGATTGGCTGTCTTGGCGTGTGTTGCCTCAGCCTCCCCATCAGGGAGTGACTTTCTCTCTCTTTATTTCCAGAAGGCAGAAAACGCAGAAGGACAGACACCTGCAATAGGACCTGATGGCGAGGTGAGGAACCAGGGTTGTTTTATTCATGGAAATGTCAGCCCATCCCTGGGCCTTAAGTCTATTTCATTCTTTAATTTTTTTTCTTTCGCTTTTTATTTATTTAAATTGATCTCAGAGGGAGGGAGGGAGGAGGGGAGGGAAGAGAGAGAGAGAGATTGATTTGTCGTTTCACTTATTAATGCATTCATTGGTTGATTCTTGTTTGTACCCTGACCGGAGATCGAACCTGCAACCTTACATATTGGGACAACGCTCTGAGCTACCTGACCAGGACTGTATTTATTTTCATGCTCAAATTGTTCCAGTTTGGGCCAGAAGGAGCCCCTTCAAATTGGTTCCTGTGTCCTTTTGATGTGTCTCCATCATTCTTTGGGGGCTTCCTGACTTCTTTGTACACCAAAATGGTCCAGACTTACCTTCTTTTCCTGCCTGAGCCCTGGAGTCAGCCATTTCTCTAAGGACCCCTGATTCCTTTTATCAAAGAATATTTCGAAATCAAAATCTAGGCATGCTCATTGCTCCTGGGTGTCATTGCTTCTAGGCCCTCTCAGCAGACAGATGTAGGAAATAGGTGTATGTGTGCATATACACATGCACTGTTATTTAGATATACAAATATTAAAAAACCTGAAATCACACTGACACCACCAATTCTAATCCAATACCCTGGGTTATTTCTATCCTTCTCCCTTTTCATACTGAAACTGCAAAAACCTGGCTCCCATTAGCCAGGATACATTTTCCTATTTGCTTAGTCCTAGAATACGCAGGATGCACATTCAGAATTGCTCACGTGTCCCCCTCTATAAAAGGAGCCTCCAAGCTAGAGATCAGTGTTTGTTTTGAGTTCTTTAGCTCGAGAGCCTATTCTCCAAATATTGTGTACAGAGCTACTTGAATTAGTTCTCCCCTTATGCCCCTGTTAGTGTGGTTTCCCCCACCCTTGTTGGTTTTATTTACTCATTGATTTATTTAGTGTGTGAAACACTAGCTTGCTCCAAAAGTCAGAACCATACAAAGTGGCCCACTCAGAGAGGGGTTGCTATTCCCACCCATCCATCTTTCCACAACATTCCTGCCCATCTCCTGAAAGCAACCATTCTGGCATAATACAGACAGTTGGAAGTAGGATGTGTAAAAGTGAGATGTGTAAATGAGAAACATTGTTTTTACTACCTTCCCTGCCTCTTTTTCATCTCACTTCCCAGAGGGAAACCATGAGTAACGGAATGCTTGCTGCTGGCCTTTCCTATGCATGAGCCACTGGATGTTTTGTTTTTTCACCTAGCATTGTCTCTCAGATATCTCTCCATGTTACCTCATGGACACTTACCGTATTCTTACTATATTTAAAAAGTTTTTTATTTTATTATTTTACTTTATTTTACTTTTGACAGTATTACAGATGTCTCCCATTTTCTCCCTTTTTGCCCCCCCTCCACCCAACTCCTGCCCCACCCCAGACCTTCACCATGCTATTGTCTGTGTCCATGGGTAATGCATATATGTTCTTTGGTTAATCTCTTCCTGTCTCCTACTCCCCCCACCCCACCCTTCCACTGAGATCTGTTATTCTGTTCCATGCATCCATACCTCGACCTATTTTATTCATCAGTTTATTTTGTTCATTATATCCCACATATGAGTGAGATCATGTGATATTTGTCTTTCTCTAACCAGCTTGTTTGGCTAAGCATAATAGTCTCCAGGTCCATCCATGCTGTCTCAAAGGGTAAGAGCTCCTTCTTAGAGCCACATAGTATTCCATTGTATAAATATACTGCATAGTATACCATTGTGTAAATATACCACAGCTTTTTTATCCACTCATCTATGGATGGGTGCTTGGGCTGTTTCTAGATCTTAGCTATTGTAAATAACACTGCTGTGAACATAGGGGTGCGTATATTCTTTCTGATGGGTGTTTCGGGATTCTTAGGATATATTCCCAGAAGTGGGATCCCTGGGTCAAACGGCAGATCCATTTTTAATTTGCCTATTCTTTCTAATGTCTCTGAAATGTAATACTTCCTATAGAAAAAATTTAAATGATAACATGAAAAGCGGAAGCCCCAGGCATGCATATTTATTCCTGGTTCACGTCTTCTCTAAACTTCCCAAAATCTTGTTTTTTTTGTGTTTTTTTTTAATATATCTTTATTGATTCCAAAGAGAGGAAGCAAGAGGGGGAGAGAGATAGAAACATCAGTGATGAGAGAGTCATTGATTGGCTGCTTCCTGCACATACCCTACTGAGGTTCGATCCTGCAGCCCAGGCATGTGCCCTTACAGGGAATTGAACTGCGATCTCCTGGATCATAGGTTGATGTTCAACTTCTGAGCCACGCTAGCCAGGCACTTCTGAAATCTTTATGCTTATATCCTCTTTGTTTTATTTTGGGACTATATGGGTCAATCAAAACATTAGTTAGACCTTTTCCACTTAGCCCAATATCTTGTGCCACTTTCCATATCAAGTCATTAGTTCTATTTTCATTTTATTGTGTTGACGTTAGAATCTGTTTCATTATTTAGATTGATAGCTCTTTAGGTTGCTTCCCATTTGTAGCTGTTACAAAGATCCTGCACTGAGCAACTCTTTACCTACCTCCTACCTATTGGTGCCTGTTTCCATTGTTTCCTTTTTTCCCTATTGCATACATTGTTATAATGAGCCTCCTTGTGCATTACATTTTGATGCTCTCTCAGTCAGCTTGGGCTGCTGTTACAAAACACCATAGCACAGATAGCCTGGGTAGCTTAAATAACATTTATGTTCTCACAGTTCTGGAGGCTGGAAATCCAAGATCCGGGTGTAGCAAGGTTGGTTCCTGGTGAGGGCTCTCTTCTTGGCCTTTTTCATAACAGAAGCATAACTCAGTGGTGGCTGTGAATTGTCCTTATTCCCAGCCAGTGGTTCTCAACCTTGGCTGTACATTTGAATTACCTGGGAAGCTTTTATAAAACCCTAGAGCAGTTGAGTCAGAATTCTTTGGGTGGGCAGGTGCAGACATCAGCACCGTTAAACGCTCCCAAGGAGCACTTGGGTGAAAGTCACCAGTTGATGGTTTGTGCATCTGAGGTTAGTGTCTCCCCCCCCCACCATAGTGGACCACTTTGAGGGCTAGGTGGTTTCGTGCACAGAGACTAATCTCTCTCTGCTGTGTGGGTGGTGCTGGTAGTGCAGCACTTTGGACAGAAGGGAGGATATAAGTCCCTGGAAGATGCTGTTAATAAAATTTAACTAAGTAAATTTGAAGATCTAATTGGTTTTATTTAATGATTCATAAATCAGGTAGCTTCTCATCTAGCCAACAGAGAGCCACCCTGAGCAGTTATACTGATGAAAGGCTTTTATAGTAACGAGGATGAATTAAGAATGTCAGCAAGAGAAAAATGAAAATTCATTGGAATAGAGTTCGGGTGATGACAGTTTCTCATTGTTTGAGCTGGGTTTCATTTGACTGGTCTTGTTGCCATGCAGGAGGGAAGCCTTCCTCCTGCTGCAGTAGTATAGTAGATGCACTTCCTTGTGGGACTGCAAGGCAGGTCTCTTCTTACTGGGATCTGTAATTTACTTCCTGTTTGACGTAATTGACTTAGAGTGGTAGGGCATGAGAGCTCCCTCTACAGGCCTTCTGGACTCCAGTTTTAGTTCAGTTTAATTGGATCCAATTTAGTTGATCTAATTTTTTGTTGGTTAATTTTCACAATGCAAAGGTTTAAATTAAGAACTTCATCCTTATTCTGAAGTCTTCAGGAAATTTGAAGGAAGAAATGTTCATCCAAAGTTGATATCTCAAAATGAGAAATCAAAGAATTTCATATTTGTTGCTAGGAGGAAGTTAGTTGTTTTGTTTTTCAGATATTCCAGTTAGCTATTTAACAATAAAGAACGAGGACCTTTGTTGAAGTAACAAACACATCATAAATGGAAAAAAATCAAGGACCAGAAGAGTGTGAATAGTTCAGTCATTTGTGTAAAAATGGGGAGAAACCAGTCCTAGTTTCGTATGCATGGAATTGATCTGTAAGGATGCACGAGAAACTGATATTGGTGGGCATCTATGAAAAGAGAAACTGCCAAGACGGGGTGGGGGAGAATCCATGCTCTACACCAGAGGTGGGGAACCTTTTTTCTGTCTAGGGCTATTTGGATATTTATAACATCATTCACGGCCATACAAAATTATCAACTTTAAAATTAGCTATGACAAAAGCTCCTAGATTTATTGAATTTTGAGTCCGCCTGTGGTTGCCTTTGCAGGGCCAGACCACATGATTTTGCAGGCCGGACGTTCCCCACCCCTGCTCTATACCCTTGAATTTTGAACTATGTGAATATATTACCTATTTGAAAATAAACACATGTATGTCAGTTACCTCAAAGAAACTGGTGTCATCAATGGAATATATTTTTTCCTGAATTATTAATATACAGGAAACCCATTTTCACAACTACTGGCCATGGTTATGTGCCATTTTTGGGGCATGGAATTTGGAGGGCACTTCCCCAGGTGGCATGGTTAGTGAACATCTGAGATATGGTCATCACAGAACCTAAAGTCATACATGTGGCTCTCTTTCAGCCTCTGGACGAGACTAGCCAAATGAGTGACCTGCCTGTGAAAGTAATCCATGTGGAAAGTGGGAAGATTCTCACAGGCACAGATGCCCCCAAAGCAGGACAGCTGGAGGCCTGGCTTGAGATGAACCCAGGGTGAGTTGACCCTTGAGTTCCAGATGCAGTGAGGATCCTGAGTCAGCTGGCTGGCAGATGGGGGTGATTTTGATTGCATTTGGAAAAAAGCCAATTTGCTAAGGTAAATGAATTATGCTGGTTTGGGGGAGATTTATATTAAAACACTAATATTTTTTCTAGGTATGAAGTAGCTCCAAGATCTGATAGTGAAGAAAGTGGCTCAGAAGAAGAGGAGGAGGTAAGAGTCCATTTCCTTCTGTCAAGACCTTCAGTGCTCTGTAGTGTGACTTCTGTCCCTTGTGTATCAGTCACCCCTGCATGCTGTGATCGTCTCCCACGCTGCCTGGGATAAGAGATGGGCAGAAGGCAGCCAAGGCCCAGTCCTGATGGAAAGTTGGTGCTTTATAGCTGCCCTGTCCCATACAGTAGCCTCTAGTCACACATGACTGTTTTAATTTTAAATTAATCAAATTAAGTAGAATTAAAAACCCTCATCCTTGATCATATTAGCCCCTTTTCAAATACTCGACAGCCTTCTGTCCAAAAGAAATCATCAGTATGAAGTTGTAAGCATTAAATCATGTACATGTTTGCTCAATGTAATCTCTTCATTGAAAATATTATAAATGGTTACTTTTTTGTGCATATTCTTTAAATCATTTCATTATTCCATGTTAAAGTGACTTCTGCTTTTTCCCTGGTTGACAAAGCTATGAGGAAGAGCCTGCTCTTCTACCTGTTGTGCATTGCCTCCTTGGGAAGGATAACTCAGAGGGAGCTAGGGGTTACACTTTCTGAAGGCCGTGTTTGTTTCACACCGCATCAGCAGAGTGGTCTTCACTCCCCCTTCAGCTGGGATGAGAGTGTCTTAAAAGGCTTTCAAGTGCCTTAAAAAGTTTTGCCACTTCTATACATTTTTGAAAAGGAGATTTTTAGCCCTAGCCAGTTTGGCTCAGTGGTTAGAGCATCGGCCTGCAGACTGAAGGGTCCTGGGTTCGATTCCAGCGAAGGACAGGTACCTTGGTTGCAGGCTCAATCTTTGGCCCTGGTCAGCGCGCGAGCAGGAGGTAACCAATCGATGTGTCTCTCACATCGATGTTTCTGTCTCTCTCTTCCCCCCTTCCACTCTCTGAAAAGCAATGAAAAAAAATATCCTCAGGTGAGGATTTTTTAAAAAAGGAAATTTTTACAGGCATTTACTTGATTGCTGTGAAAGTTGAACATTTTGGAGGGGTGTTATTAGGTTTCTTCTGTGAATGGTTTGCCTCATTTTCTTACTTCTAATCAGTTGTGAGTATTCTTAAACTGAGTTTTTAAGTGCTCTTTTATATTTATCCCAGCCTAAAATCAACTTACTGTTCACCTAAATATATATCTTTCTCTTTGTCCCCAGTAGTACTAGGTGAATTGGCATATCATCAAACCCATCCCTTCTCCATTGACTTGTGATATATTTTTTAAGTGGTATATTTTGTTTTTATAGCCACTGGAATCTTTTTAGGGCTACCTGTTCAGTTTTGTCTAACATTCTAATGACTCTTAGACTGAACATTTTTTTGTAATTTTTTAATAGCTTTATGGGGGCATAATTTACATACCATAAAATGCACCCATAGTAAGTGTACAATTCAATAATTTTTAGTGAAGTTATGGAGATGTGCAATTATCGCTGCCCACCAGCTTTAGAATGTTTTCAACCCCCAAAGTTCCTCCTGTCTGTTTTCAGTTTGTTCCTGCTCCCTTCTCTAAGCCCCAGGAGACCACTGATGTGCTTTCTATCTATAGATTTGCCTTTTCTGAGTATTTCATATAAAGGGAGTCATATAACATGTAGTATTTTGTGTCTGGCTTTTTACACTTAGCATGTTTTTGAAGTTCATCCATTTTGTTCTGTGTAGTAAATGGTCTTTTTTTTTTTAATTCTCACCCAAGGATTTTTTTTATTGATTTTTAGAGAAAGTGGAAGGGAGGGAGGAGGGGGGGAGAGATAGAGAGAGATTTGATTGAGACACATCGATTGGTTGCCTCTCATACAAACGCTGGGGTTGGGGCTTGAACCTTTAACCCTTTGCTCCATGGGTTGATGCTCTAACCACTGAACCGAACCAGCTAGGGCATCATTTTTTTTTTTTTTAAATTCCTGAGTCATATTTCATTGTATGGATATACCACACTTTGTTTACCCTTTCACCAATTAGGCATTTGTGTTTCCATTTTTTGCTATTATGAATGATGTTGCTGTGAACATTTTTGTACATGTCTATGTGTAGACATATGTTTTTATTTCTCTTGGGTAGGTACCTAGGAGTAGCATTGAGAGACTGCCAAACTATGCTCTAGCTGGTTTGGCTCAGTGGTTAGAGCGTCGTCCCTCAGACTGAAGGGTCCCAGGTTCCATTCCACCCAAGGGCACATACCTCTGTTGCAGGCTTGGCCCCGGTTGGTGCGAGTGCAGTAGGCAACCAAGCAATGTGTCTCTCTCACATCAATGTTTCTCTTTCTCCATCTCTCTCTCCCCCTTCCACTCTCTCTGAAAAACAATGAAAAATATTCCCAGATGAGGATTTAAAAAAATCACCTGACAAACTGTTTTCTAAAGTGGCTGTACCATTCAATGGGATCCAGTTTCTTCATATCCTTATCAGCACTTGGTTTATCTGTCTTTTTTATTATAGTCATCTTAGTGGGTGTGTAGTGGTAGCTCATTGTGTTTTTTTTAAAAAATAATTTTTATTTTCAATTACAGTTGACATCATTATGTTAGTTTTGGTGTACACTCCCAGTGACCAGACATTACATAACTTAATAAGTGATCACCCCAATAAATCCCACACCCATCCAGCACCACTCCTAGTTATTAGATTATTTTTGACTATATTCCCTATGCTGTACTTTACATCACCATGACTATTCTGTAACAACCAATTTGTACTTCTTAATCTTTTCACCTATCCCCCTAACTCCCCCTTCTCATTTGGCAACCAACATATTTTTCTGTATCCATGAGTCTATGTCTGTAGTGCTTGTTCATTTTGTTTGTAGGTTCAATTGTTGATAGGTATGTATTTGTTACCGTTTTATTGTTCATATTTTTTATCTTCTTCCAGAAGACTTTTGAACATTTTGTATAATACTGGTTTGGCTATGATGAACTCCTTCACCTTTTTGTTGTCTGGGAAGCTCTTTATATGTCCATAGATTCTAAATGATAGCTTTGCTGGGTAGAGTAATCTTGGTTGTAGGTCCTTGCTTTTCATCACTTTGAATGTTTCTTGCCGCTCCCTTCTGGCCTGCAAAGTTTCTTTTGAGAAATCAGATGAACAGTGTTATGGGAGCTCCCTTGTAGGTAACTAACTTGCTTTTCTCTTGCTGCTTTTAAGACTCTCTGTCTTTAACATTTTGCATTTTAATTGTGATGTGTCTTGGTGTGGGCCTCTTTGGATTCATCGTGTTTGGGACTTTGTGCTTCCTGGACTTGCATGTCTATTACCTTCACCAAGTTAGGGAAGTTTTCTGTCATTTTTTCAAATAGGCTTTCAGGTTTTTGCTGTCTCTCTTCTCCTCCCAGCATTATTCTGTTGATCTATTTTTGTTCTACTACCACTCTATCTTGATTATTGTAACTTATAATTACTTTTAAAACCAGGTAGCGTTATTCCTTTAGCTTTATTGCTTTTATTGTCTCTTCTAGATTCTTATGTTCCTATATAAATTTTAGGGTCAGCTTATTCCTACAAAAATGATTGCTGGGATTTTTATTGGGTGTGAGTTGAATCTGTCAATTTGGGGAGAAATCACATCTTAACAATAGTTAATTTTCCAGTCCATGAACATGGAATGTTTCTCCATTCAGAGTACAATTTTTACACTTTTTTTGTTAAATTTATTATTAAATATTTTATTCTTTTTGATGCTGTTATGAATAGAACCTTCTTAGTTGTATTTTTTGGATATTTTGTTGCTATTACATGGAAATACAATTTTTTATATCGATGTTTTGAAATATTGAGCTTGTAGCCTATGAACTTGCTAAACTCATATTGTTAGTTCTGATAGTTTTGTTGTTTTTGTAGGTTCTTTAGAACTTTTACATACAAGATCATGCCATCTATAAATAATGGCAATCTTACTACTCTACCTGTCTGTGCCTTCAATTTCTTTTTTCCTGCCTTATTGCACTGGCTAGATTCTCCAGTGCAGTGTTGAATAGAAGTGTCAAGAGCAGACATCCTTGTTTTTTTCCCCCTCTTAGGTATAATAAGTTTAGTCTGTTACTGCTCTTTGGTGTTAGCTGTAGGTTTTTTTGTAGATGGTCTTTAACACCTACATCAGGTTAAAGTTTGAGTAAAGTTTCTTTTAATCCTAGTTTATTGAAAGTTTTTATCATTCTGTCTATTAAGTTGGATTGGTTTTTATCTGTTACCTGCTAATATGCTTTATTAGATAAGTTAATGTGCTTTATTGTGTAAATTAATTTTTGGATATTAAACCAAACTTGCATTCCTGGGATAAGTTCTACTTTGTCCTGATCTACAATCTTTTTTGTATGTTGTAATGTTACTAGTATTTTGTTGAGGATTTTTGGGTCTGTATTCATGAGGGATATTGGCCTGTAGTTTTCTTGTGATATCTTTGTGTGGCTTTGATATTAGGTTAACATTGATGTTCTAGAATGGGTTAGAAAATGTTCCCTTCTTCTCTACTTTCTGGAAGGGTTTGAGAAGAATTGGTATTAGTCTTAAAATATTTGATAGAACTCTCCAGGTAAGCCACCTGGGACTGGCCTCTTCATTGTGAGAAGATTTTTTTAAATAATTTGTGTCTTTCTAGGTGTTTGTCCATTTTATCTTAGTTATTTGTTGGCATAAAGTTATTTATAGTAGTTCCTTATTACCATATTTCCGTGGGGTTGGTAGGGACATCTTTTTCATTGCTCATTTTGGTAATTTAGTAATTTGCCTTTCATTTTGATTCCTAGTCACTCTAAGCTTTTGTTATTATTTTAAAAATATTTTTATTGATTTTTTTTTTTTTAGAGGGGAAGGGAGAGGAAGAGAGAGAAACATAAGTGTGAGAGCAAAACACTGGCTGCCTTCTGCATGCTCCCTACTGGGGATCTAGTCCGCAAGTTGGGCATGTGCCCTGGCCAGGAGTTGAACCAGCAACCCTTCAGTACACTGGACGGTGTGCAACCAATGGAACCACACTAACCAGGGCTGAGCTTTTATTACTCATTTGAGACTTTTTCTGATGTAGGTGTTTAAAGCTATAGGTTTTCTTCTATGCACTGCTTAGTTTACAGTCCATACATTTTAATTTGTTGTTTCTGTTTTCATTCAGTTCAAAACATTTTCTTATTTCCCTTGTGATTTTTTAATTTATTTATGTATTTATTTATTTAGACCCTTGCATTATTTGGAAGTGTGTGGGTTTTTTTTTTTAAAAATATATCTTTATTGATTTCAGAGAGAGGAAAGGAGAGGGAGAGACAGAGATAGAAACATCAATGATGAGAGAGTCATTGATCGAGCCCTCAACCCGAGCATGTGCCCCGACCGGGAATTGAACCCCAATCGCCTGGATTGTAGGTCGATGCTCAACCGCTGAGCCACGCCTGGCTAGGCAGAAGTGTGTGTTAAAATTTTAAGCATTTGAGAATTTCCCAGATTTTTTTTTTTTAAATCTTCTATCTCCTAAGGAAAACAGCACTATTGAGTATCTATTATATCCTTTAGAGAACTTCATTCTAAGATCATAGTGTCAAGAGCTCCTGGTTTTGGTTCCATAAACTGTCTTTGGGATTACCTGTTTTTTATTTTAATTCTCTTGTATGCATGATTTTAATTTTTTAAAATTTATTGAGACTTATTTTATGGCTAAGCATTCTGGAGGATATTTCATGTTTGCTTGAAAAGGGTTCTGCAGTCTTTGGGTGGGAGTGTTCTATTTATGATAGTTAGGTTGAATTGCTGGATAGTGCTGTTCAGGTCATGTTTATCTTTGCTTTGGTTTTTTTCTCAATCCTGATTCTCAAGGAATAGGACACATTTCTTCATAACTTAGTAGTCATCCAATGATTGGGCAGAGATTGTACTCAAACACCTAGTAAGGCTTTTGTCTCCTAGCAGTGGATTAGCGTATATAGGGGAAACACCTTTCAGGTTAAGGCCATTTTTAAGTTCTCCCTGGCTTTTATTTTCTGCTGGGCCTTTTCTTGTTTCCTCAACACATGGGCACAGCCTCAGTCAGTAATATGCTTTCTCAATGCCAGCTAAAAGCCTCACCTCCACCGACAGTGCCGCATGGGTATCGCCCACTGCCATAAAATGACTGAGTCCCCAGGTGCCAGTCCTCGTGGCCTCCTGCCCTGGCAGAATATTCATGATGAACCTGGGGGGGTAGGACAGATGGAAGCAGTCCCAAATAAGAACACTACCAATTTCCACCCTTCTTATCCGAAGTTCAGCAGTTTTTCAAGCATTAACACTTCTCAGTCTCCTTGAGCTCTGAAATGGTTGCTTTTGCCAGTTTTGTCAAGCTCTATAGTCTTGTTTTGAAGAGAGAATTTGCCTACAATCTGACTCAGACTCAGCCAAAAGTCTCACCCCTATATTAACTTCAGACATGATGATATCAGTTAGGGTAAGTCTATACCAGTTATTATTTTTTGTGTGTGGCCCCAAACGTTTGTGCTGTCATCATCTGTTTATTATTCCAAATGATCTATAAAATCATTTTGCATGCCCTGAGAAAATTCCCACTGGAATTTTATTGGAATTTTTTAGCAGATGAATGGAATGCTTTTGTTTTATAGAAGTTCCATTATACATAAAGAAAATAACTATTGGGACTTTGTATCATTTATACAGGAATACAAGGATGGTTTACTACCAGGAAATGCATTTATGTGTATTTTATTAATAGGACAGATGGAAAAATCCCTTTATCATCTCAGTAAATGCTGAAAAATCACTTCCATGAAACAAAACTTATACTTAGTTTACAGGTTTATAGAATACCTCTTATTAAACTAGGTTGCTTGTTATCATTAGTATTATTTGATGTATTTTAGGCATTTTAGCCATATCAGTAAAGCTAGAAGTAAATCAAAAGCAACAAATATTGAAAATTGGCTATTATATATTTTCTTCTTAGAAAATCCAAGAGATTCCAGTGAAAAACTGCTTGAATAGGTTATTCAAGGAATAAATTTGTAGTATATATTGTGTAATCGGGGCAGGGGCATGAAGAATCTATTAGTAGCAAAAGCGCACGGAGTACCCTGAGATAGCCTTAAAAAGAAGTATCCGAACTCTGTGCTAGGAAAACTAAAAGTAATATGCTGAGCAATTAAAAGCAGATGCAAAGAGGAGGCATGACACATTTCAGGATAAGAAGAAGGCATGAGGATTGTAAAAACATCGGTTGCTTCCAAAAGTGTGTTTTCTCCCTGGAATCCCTTTGCCTGTCCCTGTGAGATGTCTTGAGGTGACCTGGGCTTGTCTCTTGGTAGGAGGAAGAGGAGGAGCAGCCACAGCCAGCACAGCCTCCCACCCTACCTGTGGAGGAGAAGAAGAAGATTCCAGATCCAGACAGTGATGACGTCTCTGAGGTGGATGCCCGGCACATCATTGAGTAAGACATCCCTATACATGCTCCTACTCCACCAGCTTCCCTCACAGGGGGCCCCCGCAGAAAAATAGAATCCAGCTTCTCCCTGGATGGCCCCAGTATCCACCTGGCAGCCACTGTGAGACCACAAATGGGAGTCCAGTCTTGGCGCTGTCCTCTTCCCCCACTCGTCCCCTGATTTCTGTTTGCTGCCTTGCTTGTCCTTAGACTGTCCAGTTATACTTTTTCTTATCTTAAGGCTCATGTCACCGGGCCTCAGACAGAAAGAGCCTCTCCAGAGTCTTGTGTCAGAAGTACATTGTCACAGATAGAAATGTGTATCCTTAGATGGTGATTGTGTTTGCTTCCAGGAATGCCAAGCAAGATGTTGATGATGAGTATGGCGTGTCCCAGGCCCTTGCTCGTGGCCTGCAGTCCTATTATGCTGTGGCCCATGCTGTCACCGAAAGAGTGGATAAGCAGTCGGCGCTTATGGTTAACGGTGTCCTCAAACAATACCAGGTGAGTGAGGCAGGAGGGAGCTGTACCTACATAGCAGTCTCGACAGATGGGTTCCCAGCTTATGGGAGGCTGCTGAAGTTGAGCAGAACCAAGTTCACATTCTACTTCTTGTCTCTGGGTACCTTACTCTTTCTTTCTCAGCCTCAGGTTCCCCATCTGTAGAGTAGAAACATGATCTGTTAGGTTAGCCACCAGGAGGAAATGAAATGGTACAGTTTATCAGTATCTGCTGGGTGCTTGACCTGTGCAGGTCAGGATAATACCTTGTTCTATGCTGTTAGCTCCTGAATCCCCAACGACTCTGAAGTCAGCAGTCATTCTCTGCATTTTATAGGATGGGGGCGTGCAACTGAGAAACAGAGAGGGGCAGTGATTCCTCAAACTCTTACAGCTTGGGAGTGGTAAAACCAGTACCAGACCCAGGTTTGGACATAGGTCCATGTTCCCTGGAGCTCTGTGCAGTGTGGGACAGTGAGGAGTGAGCTTAGATGTCTGGAGCCAGAAGCCCAGGTCTTAGCTCTTCCTTCTATGGAGGTGACATGACGCTGGCACTAAAGCTCTTTGTCAGACCTCTCCTGGAACAGCCAAGAATTAGAGCTGCCGTAGTAGAAATTTCTTTTTTTGTGGCTCCATATTCCACGCTCATTTATAAGCTTCCAAGAGGCAGCTGGCTTATATTCGATCAAAGAACACATCTCCCTGATTTTCTGTATGCTTGTGTCCCTTATATCCCAACGTCCCTTGAAAGAACTCTCAGAACCTCTATGCCAATACTGAGTTCCAAAGAGGCGAAGCCAATGACCAGTGGAAATTTCCAGTGGCTAGTGGAATCAAAGGAATCAGAACTTGGCCAGAAATTACTTCCTTAATCTGTTAGAAAATTCCCAAATTTTCCTTCATAACATTATATTCCACTGAAAACGGTCTTCTCTTTAATTCCCAGTATTGTTGAAACCATGCAAGCTTTGGGAAGCTCTCAGTTCATCTTGACATGGTTAGGCTAATGTTGGCCCTGTGGTGGATTCATCAGCAGGTTCCCCTGAATCCCTAAAGATCTCCCGAATCAAGCGTCACATGGTTGTGGGCAGGTTTGTCCCAGTGAGCTACATGGCTTGGTATCAGGCAGTGAGAGATGGACTTTGTAACAGAAATTTAAGTTCAGATGTGTATTTGAAAAAGAGATTTTGTATAATGTATGTATATTATTAACATAGCAACCCTATGATTTCATAGGAATGATTGCTGAAGATAAGCCTAAGGAAAAAAGGAGTAGGGTGATTGAGAGCAAAACACCAAATAAAGATGGCTGTGGGCAGTTGGTGGCTAGGGCCGAACTTGTTCCTGGTCGAGTCTCTGAAGCATGGGCTTCAGTGTTGGCCACCTCTCTCCTTGCAGATCAAGGGCTTGGAATGGCTGGTGTCCCTATACAACAACAACTTGAATGGCATCCTGGCTGACGAAATGGGCCTGGGAAAGACCATCCAGACCATTGCGCTCATCACGTACCTCATGGAGCACAAGCGCATCAATGGGCCCTTCCTCATCATTGTACCTCTCTCGTAAGTGAGCCCACCTCTGGAGGTCTGGGTATATCCAGGGCATATACCACGCTGTCCTACTTCATTGGCACCCCAGCCTTCATTCAGACACCTGTGTGTTAGTTTACTCGGGCTTTCCTAACAAAGTACCACAGCCTTGTGGCTTAAACAACAGGCATTATTTTCCTGTAAGTCTGAAGACAAGGCATCAGCAGAGTTGGTTTCTTCTGAGGCCTCTGTTTTAGCTTTGCAGATGGCCATCTTCTCCCTATGTCCTCACATGGTCTTCCCTCTGTGTTGTCTGTATCCTAATTTCCTCTTCTTATAAGGATACCAGTCATTGGATCATGGCCCATCCTAATGACCTTATTTTAATTTAATTACCTCTTTAGAAACTCTTTTTCCAAATACAGTCACATTCTTCCCTGCCCCTGTCCCCACTGTCACACTTTTGTGTGTCCCTGTTCCTTCCACCAGACCACCTTCCCTCACTCGCCCCCATTAGAGATGATCAGTTACTCTGCCAGCCCGAGGGTCATGGCCCCGTTGGCCTCACTTCCCAGGGGACATTGATATGAATGTTAAGCTATTGTTGACTCCTGTAGAACCTGACTATTCCTTTCCTTGATCCCATTAGAACGCTGTCAAACTGGGCTTACGAATTTGACAAGTGGGCCCCCTCTGTGGTGAAGGTGTCCTACAAGGTATGTCACAGCCTGCGGAGGTGGACATAGGTGAGGGCAGGGCAGGAGAGTAGGGAATGTAGAAAAATGAATAGGGAAGTCAACTTGCATTAATAGCATGAGGCATATGTGCACATTTTCCTGTTATACACTTGGGATTGTGGTGTTAATGCAGGTTTGGGATCATTTATTTATTTTGGGGGGTAATGTTTATTTTTGATCATTTCACCCTGTGTAGTGGGGACTATTTGTGCTTGTTTTCTGGTGGGGAAACTGAGGCAGACAGGGCCTCATGCAGCCACTTAGTGGCAGAGCCAAGTTATGCCTGGCCACTGGGCTCTGGGGTTCAGGCTTTTCACCCTGTGCTATGAGGCTCTCTGCCTGTGATGGGAAGAGGAGGTCTTGGCAGAAGGTACTGCATGTGTGGAGAAACCTTGGTATGTTTGAGGAGTTAAAAGTAGTTCTAGCAAAAGCTTATGGGACCCAGTGAAGACCATTCTGTGTGGAATGTGAACCTAGAGAATACTGGGGCTCTGGTCACATGGTTTAGGAGTTTGTACCTGGGAGAGGGCCTGGGCAGATTTGCTAATTGCAAATAATCTGGAGCTTCGGTCAGGGAATGACCTCGGTGGCCAGCAAGTGGGAGATTTTAAGGGGGAGGCCCTGATTTTCAGCTTGGAGAGGCCTGAGGGTGGGACCCAGCAAGAGGTAGGGAGCTGATTTGCCACTGAGACTGAGGCAGATGGTGGTGTAGGCAGCAAGCCTCCCAGTGGGCCCAGGCTACCAATGTCCCACAAGCCTTTCTCCGCTGCATTTGGCACTCAGCACATTGGGGTTGGAGTCCAGGAGCTGTGATCTACCCCCATGTCCCTGGGAGACTGACGTCGTGTGCATGTCTTTTCTTCACAGGGCTCTCCAGCAGCCAGACGGGCTTTCGTCCCCCAGCTCCGGAGTGGCAAGTTCAATGTTTTGTTAACGACGTATGAGTACATCATTAAAGACAAGCACATCCTTGCGAAGGTAGCATGTCTTCGTGTAAAACACCAGCCCTAGGCACTCAATGCTGTCAGGGAGCCTGTGATCCTGCCCAATCCAGGATTGTCATGTGTGTCACACTTCCCATCTTCTCAAAGTCCCTTGCAAGTAATTTTGCACTGATTCCCCTGCACATGTGTATAAAGACAGCTGCTATGTATGTGAAAAGCCCTGGTCAAGGTGACCTTGGGTTTGCCTCTCTGACTGTTCTAGGCTAGCCCATGGTTAGATCTAGAGACAGGTTCGTCTGTGTAGCACGTGGGCTAGCTCCTCCTGGGGCTTTTGCCCAAAGAGTCTGGTCACACCAGATGCTTCCTGACCTACTTGCTTGTCTGCAGTGTCCCTGGTAGGGCCATGGAGAAGCCAGCCTTGTCTTTACCTGTCTAGCGACCTCAGCCCTCCGTCCCTGCTGACTGTGCCTCCCTCAGCACAGCCACGTGAAACCAGCCCATGATACTCTCTGAGGCCCTCTGGCCCATCAGCCTTGGGCTACTGGGCTGGCACATTCATGGGGGCTGTGCAGGCCCAGGCCCCTTAGCTGACATAGTTGTGAAGGTGGCTGTAGTTAGGCCATAGTGAATTACTGAGAACATACTGTAACCCAGATATAAAACAGACACCATCCCTTGCCTGCAAAAAAAGCTGTTTCCTGGTTTGAGGAGGGGTCGAGGCTGAAGATGATGCATCTGGTCTCACCACTAACCAGTGGAGTGAAGTAGAGGGTAGAGTCTTTGACCCAGGGATGGAGGAGATGTTTACAAGTTACCACGCCTCAGGGCCTTGGTCAGAGTGATATTATTGGGTGCTTGATAGGCATCTCCAAGCCTACAAGATGAGGAAAGTGGGGCCTAGAGAGCAGATGTACATTGTGGGGGTCAGCCTCTGACTCAGTACAAAGCCATCTGTGTTTACCTGACAGTGGCTTTAACAAACACTCTGCAACGAGGTTTCCTCATGGGAGAAGGCTGCTGCATCCTCCCCCCAGTCAGATCTGCCTCTGATGTGCACTGCCTCACGCAGACCTCACTGTGTCCCCAGGAGGCTAAAGCACAGGGCAGCCACACACTGATAGAATCAATGTCTAGCCCCTATCCATCAGATGTGTAGCCACCCACAGGCTCTGGAGCACAGCCCCGGCCCCCAGGCTCACACTCAGAACCTGCCTGTGATGCCCCTACCTTTAGAGGCACAGCCTGCTGAATGGAAAATGTACTCATTACTGTACCACATCCCTGTAGAAGCACCCCTCCCCCCATGGGGCCCCTCTGATCAGTGAGGGGTATGTTGTTTGGTGATTTTTCTGTGCTACATACTAGCATACGTAGTTTTGGGAGGGAAACCAGAATACTTTTTTGCAACTTGTTTTGTTCATCCAGCAGCAGTTCACCAGCATGTCTCTCTGTTTGTCCTCACCCCATGCTTTATAGAGGCATGTTGTGTGGCTATCTCTTGGTGAGCTGGTCCCTTGTCAGGGGACATTCTCATGCCCACATTCTCCACCTCAACGAGCTTTTCCACCTGGAGCCCTCTTGCCTAATGGTTGTGAGAGTATCGCTCAGCTGGGGGTAGCCCCACAGCCTCTCCTCCTCTGAACACCTGCTCTTGGGCCTGCAGATCCGCTGGAAGTACATGATCGTGGATGAAGGCCACCGCATGAAGAACCACCACTGCAAGCTGACGCAGGTCCTCAACACACACTACGTGGCCCCCCGCCGCCTTCTGCTGACAGGCACGCCGCTGCAGAACAAGCTCCCTGAGCTCTGGGCACTCCTCAATTTCCTGCTGCCCACCATCTTCAAGAGCTGTAGCACCTTTGAGCAGTGGTTCAACGCACCCTTTGCCATGACCGGAGAAAAGGTGGGTGTGCAGGGCCAGCCATGTGGTGGTGGGGCAGGGAGGTAACTGAACTGTGGATGTGGACCGTCCTCAGAGAAGTTGGGTGTGCACTGAGTGCCCACCACAATGGGCTGGGACTGTGGTAGGTGTTAGGGCTGGAGTCTGTGTCTTTGTGGAACCAGGTAGCCTTGTTCCTGAGGCTGGAGGAGCCACAAGGGCCCCAGAGAAGAGCAGTGATGGAAGTGGTGAACTCTGGGGAAACATTCAGGGCTTCCATGACCCTGTGCCCCAGGCACAGAGAGGGCACAGTGGGAAATATGGCCTTGAGGAAGCTGTGGGGCCAGAGCAAGGTTGTGCAGGTACAGCTGGAGGGCCCAAGGGACCTGTTGATCCATCTCTTTAGGGAGTTTAGGTTTTACCCTAAGGGTAGTGGGAAGCTCGGATGTTTTTACTCACAGGAACAACACGGTCAGATTCTGTGTATTTTTATTTTAAATATCTCTATCGCCAGTGTATCTCAAGGTCTGTATGACCATGGGTAGTATTGTCAGTCTGAAAACCAGACTGTGGCCCATGGGTTGTCAGGGGCCAGGTCTTCATCATTTGATGAACTCCTCAAGCTTACTCGAAAATGAGCTGCCATGCTATTGAGCTGTGTTTGTGGGCCAGCTGCATTTTTGTTGAAAGCATTTAAGCCGCCAGAACCTGTCAGCGGAGGAAGTAGGTACAATTGTAGGGGTGATGAGGAGTGTCACTGCCCTCTAGTTCCCAATTATGAGGTTTTCCTTAGACAGATGCAGGACAGCTGGGGGAACCACTCCATGTGTACGAAGGGGCCTCTGCCAGCATCATCTACGAGGTACCCTGTCCTTGACACCAGCTTAGGCTGAAGCCCTTCTGAAGGAGAACCTGAGGCCTTTCCAAGAGTCCCAGGACCCCCGTCCTACTAGTTGAAGAGCAAATACTCTAGTTTCATTTATTTTCAAGTTGAGCAAAAGCTTTGCCAAGAGATTTTTTTAGGGGACCCACAGAAGAAAAAAGTTCGGGTGTCAACTTATTTTGCACTTTTTTGTATGTGTAAGTATGTCATTTGTTGTTTTAATTGATTTTAGAGAGAGAAGGGGGAAGGGAGTAAATGAGAGAGAGAAAGAAAGAAACATTAGTGTGAGAGAGAAACATCAACCAGAATCGAACCTGAAAGCTGGGCATATGCCCTGATCAGGAAGCCCACCCTTTACCCTTTGGTGTACAGAAAGACTCTTCAACCCAGGCACACTGGCTAGGGCTTATTTTTCACTTAAAAAAATTTTTTTTTAATTAACTTTTTATCAGAGTAGCAGTCACCGTAGGAGAGCCGTATTTCTTCCTCTCTATCCCATCCCAGCTGAAATGAGAGTGAATGTGGGGCTCCCAGTGGTAGAGCCCTCCACGAGAATCATCTAGTTTACACCAACTATTTTATGAATATGGCCCCCATAGTGCCACTTAGCTTTCATTTGGATGCGCTGGCAGGGAAACTACACTGTATGCTGTTGTGTTTCTCTTCATAAGGCCTGTGGAACATGGTGCTCTGGGGCCTTTGGTTCCATGTCCTGGCATTTCTAGGGAAGGACCCAGATCCTCGCTTTTTCCAAAGGAAGAGGGTGCCTTTCCATACCTCATAAAGCAGAAGGCAGTCTGAAAAGGAGGGGCAAGGTGCAGGGTGACTCCAGATGGCCCAGCTTAGCCCTGCCTCCCCGTTTCCTACTCTAGATGTTTTGTTTGGGCCCTTCTTTACCTGAGCTGTGCACCCTTCGTCATGCCCCTTCCCCCCTTTGGAAATAACGCTTGGTTTACAAGTCTTGTGGAATGCCAGGTGGACCTGAACGAGGAGGAGACCATCCTCATTATTCGTCGCCTCCACAAAGTGCTACGGCCCTTCCTACTCCGGCGGCTCAAGAAGGAGGTTGAAGCTCAGTTGCCTGAAAAGGTACCATGAGGGTTTTATGTAGAAGAAAGCACAGTACAGCATTGTACGGGGCTTCCCTGTGTTGGGCCTGGTTAGGTGGCTCTCCTGTCATCCTTGGCCTATGGTCTCATGGTCTTGGCCTTACACTGGCATTCTAGAGTCACTCCATCCTGGCGATCGCCACTCACCCTGTCTGGATCACTAAAGTGGAAGGCAGGGGTAGTAGGTTAGAGTACAGAATCCCATGTGTTGTCAGTGGGCTAGATGCCTGGGCAGGTCCTGCCCAACCACATCACAAGAGCTTGGAGGCCATGGGCTCTCAGGGCTGCTCCCCATCATGAGATGACCCTGAATTCTTGTTCATGGGACCAGTAGTACCACAGTGGCCCCAGGGCTCTCTCTCCTCCCCCCTGGCCAGATGGGCTTCTTGGCCACAGTCACCCTTCCAGTCATTCTTGCCCTTTGTTTTCTGGCCAGCTATAGAGAGGCCTTCAGAAGGTGACCACATGTGTCCCCCAACAGAGAAACAGCCCATCATTTCCCCAGAGTTCCAGGGGCTGGCTGTTATTAGGCTGCTATGAGCCACATGCCCATCTCTTCATTGCCCACGTGGCTGTGGAGCTATCACTGGTCAAGCCTGGAGCTGGAATCAGTCTTGTACCTGCTGGAACCTTGAGCACTGAGAGTGGGAAAGAGAGGGAGGGAAGCAGATTCTGTAGAGGGTAGGAGCAGCCCAGGACTCCCCCTCCATGTTTCTCTGCCCTGGTACATCTACCGTAGTCCATGACTTCCTTCATGCACCCAGTTGTGAGTCACCCTCATGTGCCTCAATCAGAGCACACATCCCAGGGCCCGGGATGACATCCTCAAGAGACATCCTGCCTCAGAGAGAGATGGGCTCAGGTGGGGGATTATGCTCAGGGCCCCTGGACCCCCACTGATGGCGCTATGTGTCCCTTGCAGGTGGAATACGTCATCAAGTGTGACATGTCTGCCCTGCAGCGTGTGTTATACCGGCATATGCAGGCCAAGGGGGTGCTGCTGACCGATGGCTCCGAGAAGGATAAGAAGGTTCACCTAAGCCCCCCCTTCCCCACCTAGGTGTCCAAGGCGGGTGGGTTCGGGGCAGCCAGGTGTGTGGGGCTTGAGCGCACTGTAACCAGTGGGCCTTCCACCTCTGGAGCTTGTTGTGGTCTGGGCCCCATCTGGTGGTGATCCTGAGGGCATTACAGAGCTATTGCTTAAGTCATGGCTGGTGTGAACAGACTCAGCCAGTAAGGCTGTGCAAGCAGAGGCTCATGGGCTGATTTTGGGGCACACTTAAGTTCCTAAGACCCTCCCGAGTCAGCTGTTGTCTGGTGTCCTCTTTGTTTATGAAATGTTATCCCCCATTGTTGTGACAGTGGGAGCATAGGGACCAGCACTAACTCCCACAGAATTAGAAGGTTTTAGTGAGCCCCACCTTCCGAGCTGGGAAAAAGCTGCCCCAACAGCCATGAACACTTAGCCCCTTCACCTTGTTAGCAAATGACATCCAGGGGTGAGGCTTGTTTACAGTAGAGAAGAATGGGGGCTGGGCTAGCTGCTGCCTTCTGGGATCTCTCTGAGGTCCCAGTGCCCCCCTTGTCCAGCTCCCCTCACCAGAACTGAAGTTATCTTCCCAGGTCTCTTGATTATGCACCCAGTACCTCGAACTTAGCCCTACCTCCCTATTTCCTCCTCTAGATGTTTTGTTTGGGCCCTTTTTTACCTGAGCTGTGGCAGCAGCATGTTTACTGGTTTACTTCTATCCCACAACACCCACTAACCCCTGAATCCTTTCTCTCCCTATAGCCAGCTATCTTACTAAATCATGGCTACAGCCCCAAGGGACTTGCCACAATTCTCATGAATGAAGCTAGCCTCGCAAAGTGTTTCTGATTCAGCCTCAGTTCTGTCAGTCTTATTTCCCTTACTCCCTACCTTCCACCCCTCCAATGTGCCAGGCAGGCTCTGCTCCCCCCAGAACTGGTTTCAAGCCTCTGACCCCCCACAGGAGCTAGCTCTTCACTCATGATTTCTCTGCCACAAGCCATACCTGCCCCTAAAGCTATTCTTCCCATAGTCATCTCTCCACCACCCATCCTACCCCAACCCAGACAAGACCCGATTTGGGAGACTCTTCTTCCTCTGTAGGGCAAAGGTGGCACCAAGACCTTGATGAACACCATCATGCAGCTGAGGAAGATCTGCAACCACCCATATATGTTCCAGCACATTGAGGTGAGGCCCCCTCTGCCCAGCCTGGCGCTGCCCTGAGCACCCATCACCAGGGACAGCAGGCACAGCTGAGCCCCCAGGCAGAGCTAGATTGCTTCTCCCTGACAGCTTAAAAAAAACCAGTTTATAAAATTTTGAATAGGCAATGCCTGTACATTTGTCTCTGTTGATTTGCTGTTTGCAAGTGCTTATGGGAAGGAATCCAAACAGTGCAGGAAAATAGAAATGGAAGCCCCTGAAAGCCCACTGTCACATAACCACAAGTTACTGGGAAACTCCTCTATACGTCATTTTTCACCTGGTGGGGTCATACTGCCTATCGTTACGTTGTTCTGATTTCAAAGGTACTAGCGTTTCCCACTCAGTGACATGTGGGGCCATCTTGGGTCATTGCATTAACTCAGAACAGCTTTCTTCTTTATGAAGTCTCCGGGTCATAACCTTTTGGGTCATGGTGCCCTTTGAGAATTTTGATCCCTACTCTTGGAAAGCACACATATGTTCATGTTTTGGCATAACGTTTCAGGGTTGTTGGAATGCCCCTGGTGCCCCTGGGGTTCCCTTTTAGCACTCCCAGGATGATCTCTGGCGGGCACTGTCCTCGTGTGCTCATTTTGGTGGTTTAATGTTATGTCATGACTTCCTTTCCTTTATTGGAAGAACATGAGGGAAGGGACATGGGTAGCATAGAAAAGCTGTGTTTGACATCTGTGTGTGGCCTCAGAGCCACTGTGGGCAGTTACTAAGCTGGTATGAGGGGTCAGAGGTGTGGCACTGGGCAGCCTCTTTCTGCCTTCCCACTGAATTCTCTCTCATTTCATTACAGGAGTCCTTTTCTGAGCACCTGGGGTTTACTGGCGGCATCGTCCAAGGGTGAGAACCTTCCCCACTGGATAGAGTAGGCAGGCTGGCCACGTAGTGGTGTTTCTCACACATTTTCACGGCTCTATTGCTATTGTCACATTGGTCCGATTTCAGAGGCATTATGTTCATGGCAGAAAATTTAGAAAATGTAGACAAAGAAGAAAATAAAAACCCTCTACAGGTTGAGAGTTGCCCACCATTAATCCCAAGAGGCAGAATTCCTAAGGCTGACCTGGTTTCCAGGCCCCACTCTGGCGCTTCCCTCAAGGCTCTGTGAACCTTGCCAGCTTTCGTCACCACTCTGAGCCTAAACTGTCTGCTGACAGAGAGATCCTCTGTATGGTGTGCTACCTACCTTGCCATGGTTCTGTTTTCTCTGGCATTGTTTATAAAGTACAGCCCAGGCTTTATTAAGCCCCTGGTGTTCGACGTGGAAGCTGCATCTGGATTTGCCCATTGCCAACTGCCTTGCTAAAAACGTTCATATAGCTAAAGTCACCATCATTTCTCCAGGATACTAAGCCACTTTCAAGAGCAGAGGCACCACATCAAAGAGCAAAAAAGTTCTTTTGAGGTGTATTTTTTATTCCAAATTGCATAATGGGGTCCCTCAGATGAGTTTGAGTCCTGCCTCAGGCACAGCAGCAGCTGTGTTGTGCTGTCTCCCTAGCCTCAGTTTCCACATCTGTAAACCAGGGGTTGTAGACTGAAGTGACTAAGAGTACCTGCGGTGGCCCTTAGCCATGTGTGGTTCAATGTGGGCACTCTACAGCATGAGTTGTTTTTCCTGGTTCTTTAACAAAATGGAGACATTGTTGCCGCGTAGTTACTAATAGCACCTCTTCTCACTTACAAGTATCCAAGTTGGACAGTGGTCACCCTTACCAAGGATGGCCTGAGTTTATTTTAGTAGGGTTGAAATGGCTTTGCTGAATATGGAAGAAAGTGGATGCCTAGGAAGTCACTTCTGTGCCCTTGAACCTGATGACCAGCCCATGTAGGCTGGTTCAGTTTAGCCTGGAGACAGGACTGTGCCTCCTCCTTTACCCACCTGCTAGGTGCCGTTGTTAACATTATGTGTATTCTTCCCTTCTCCCTCTGCTCGCCAGGCTGGACCTTTACCGAGCCTCAGGGAAATTTGAGCTCCTTGATAGAATTTTGCCCAAACTTCGTGCCACCAACCATAAAGTGCTACTCTTCTGTCAGATGACCTCCCTCATGACGATCATGGAAGATTATTTTGCGTATCGCGGCTTTAAATACCTCAGGCTCGATGGTGAGTATGACCAAGGGAGACATTTGTTAAGGGGTCTCATTATCTACTGCTGGCAGAGCTTGTGGCCAGTATGCCCTCCCTTGTAAAGCCGAGTGAGGCCCAGAGACTCTAGGTGTACTAGCAGGAATGAGCCCAGCAGCATGCTCAGTTACATACCCTTTCAGAACTGGGAGGGAGGGCTCTGGAAGCATTGTAACTGGATCAGAGCCCATGGCTCAGGGGAGTGGCTAGATCTTGGCATTACAATGTTGGGTCCAGTGGTTAAGGGGTACCCAGCAGTCCTGTTTTGGTTGGAAGTGACAAACCCATAGCCTGTGTGCATAAAGAAAACAGCCTTGATAGACTCACATAACAACCACAGCTGGATCCAGGTGTCCAGATGATGTTGGAGGGGTTTTTCTGGAGCTCTTGGCTTCTTTGTCCTTGGGCATCCTCTCTAGGGTTCCCTTCTGCCTGCTCATTGTCCCCAACAGAGAGGCAGCCTGTCATTTCCCCAGAGTTCCAGGGGCTGGCTCTCATTAGGCTGTTATGAGCCACATGCCCATTTCTCCATTGCCCAGGTGGCTGTGGAGCTATCACTGGTCAGGCCTGGAGCTGGAATCAGTCTTGTACCTGCTGGAACCTTGAACACTGAGAGTGGGAAAGAGAGGGAGGGAAGCAGATGCTATAGGGGTAAGAGCAGCAAGACCCTCCTGGGAACACTGCTTGGCTGTGACCCTGTACACCCATAGGGAGTCCTGCACACCTGCCCTTTTCCCACTGCATGGGAGCTTGGGGCAGGAGTGGGCTGGGTAAGATGCTGATAACATGCAAGACATGTGATGTAACATGTCAAATGGCCAGGGAGGCCCTACAGGGAGTCCCCATCCTCTGTCAGATGGCAGGATTGAATAGGGCTCATGAGAAAAATGAACTTGGGAGCCATAGGGGTGAACATGGTTAAGAAGGTTTCCTCATTCCCCGCACAACTTCTCAGAATCTTTAAGCACATTGCCAAGTCCATCTCCATGGCTGGACACCTCAAACCCCTGTGCCCGTCTTTTTTTTCACTGTGCATCTTGTGGAACTGTGGTTTCACAGAGCCTGGACTGGTGGTTGCTGGGCTAATTATCGGTTGATCTCTGCCCTTCCTGCCTCCACCCAGAACCTGCCCTGAATCTTGCCTTTCTCAGCCTTTTTTGGAATTCTGTCAGGGCAGCCTTTAAAAACACAAATCTGATCATGTGTCTTACCTTGCCCCTCTCTCTGTGCCTTGGCCTCTTCAGCTGTTCCATCCTTTGGGAGGGCTCATTTTTTTTCTGTGTCACCCCCAGAGGAGAGGCTATATGGTATTTGGAAAGCGTGTTTTCACCCACCACAGTGCCCCTCCACCTACCTTTTTATTCCCCTTTTTCTTCCATGACAAGCGTTATTTCCATAAAGATGAAGACTTTGTGGGTTAAGCATAGTTCATCCCTAGTACTTCTCATGGCCTCTGACACATAGGTAGGACGTCTAGTAAAGGATGGAGGAAGGGTTCAGTGACACATTGTGAAAAATGAACCTTCCACTATCAGAGTGGTAAGAGTAAGGGTGTGGGCTGGGGACCTGGGAGGTGGCGCCTCCTCCTAGGCATCTTCCTGCCCCACTTAAGGCCTCAGCCCCTCCTCAGATATGTTGCAGCTCTGGGCACATCTGGAGCCCAGGCTCTGATGGCCAGCAGGCCATTGTGCTGTTCATTGGGACATGTAGGTGTGTTTCAGGAAGTGTTTAATTTTTTTGTTTCATCACCAAAAATGACTCCTGAATTTGGCAAGGCACCTCTGCTCTGAGCTGGCAGCAACATGAGGAGCTTAGATGCCTTTCTGACACATGATGCTGAGGATCTTGTCCTGGGCCAACACCCGAGAGTCACTGTAACTCTTGGAAGCCTACTGCCCAAAGGGATATGAGCCCCTGAAATAAGGCACCTGTGTGCCTAACTGTAGGCAATTCTCTCTGAACTGAGAAATCCCATTGCAGTAGGGTTGAGGGCAGGCTCTTAGCTCTGGCCAGTTGCTTGTTTGGGGGTTGCAGTGTTATCAGCATTAGCTGGTGGGCAGGGGTTGGTGGTAACAATAGCACTGATGGGGAGCCCTCGTTTCCTGGCTATTTGCTGGGCTTCAGCCCCCACATGGTCTAGTTCTTACAGCTTCCCCATTTTATATGGAGGAGGTGCAGCCATCTTTGTGGGGCTTATTCTTGCCTTCTAGGGTGGGGAGAGTGGCATTCAGTAGTATCACTATAAATCTGAGTCATCAATTGCAGCTCAGGGCTATGAGCTGAGTGTGGCTGTGCCTCAGGTGGCCCCAGTGGGCCACATGTAGGTGTGGTCTTTGTTCACCAAAGCACAGTTCCTTTGTGTCTCACCTTGCCACCACTTACCTCCCCCTCAGTTACCCCACTAACCCCGTTCTCATCATACTTGGCAGGAACCACAAAAGCGGAGGATCGGGGCATGCTGCTGAAAACCTTCAACGAGCCTGGCTCTGAGTATTTCATCTTCCTGCTCAGCACCCGGGCTGGGGGGCTCGGCCTGAACCTCCAGTCAGCTGATACTGTGATCATTTTTGACAGTGACTGGAACCCCCACCAGGTAAAAGCCTCTGGCACCCTGAGGGGAGAGGCATGAGGCCTCAGGGAGACCCTGCCCACCGTCATGAATGCCACTGGCATCTTTGACATTTCCCAGGCCCTGAAGCAACAGCAGCACCTATAGCTCCTGAGACCTTTGGAGAGAAGCTCAGAGTATCCATTTCCCTCTGTTTCTCAAACCAAAAATAGTTTTTTGTTCAAATCATGCCAAAAATATATTCCATTGTTACATATATAACATATATACAAAGAATCTTGGTATTAATGTAAATGTGGAAAGAAAACAGAAAGGCCCCAATCCTACCAGCTGGCAATAATCGTCGCTGTTTTAGTGACACACGACCTTCTAGGCCTTGTTCCAAACGAGCACTCTCACACTTGTGCTTTTGTAAAACAAAATTTGGGGCGTATTTTATGCACTTTGTGTACTGCTGCTCTGTTTCTTTCCTGTATACACTCCATGGGGTCATATGCCAGCAGATGCAAGGATGTGGTATCTTATAGATATAACAGTTTTAAATATTTAACTTTTTCCTATGTTTTATTATAAATAACTTTTTTAATGCAAATATTGGTAACAAAGTAACATAGAGACCATTTTTTTACCCTTCCCCACCCATCTTGCTCTTCTCTGAGTGTGTGCCAGCATCTAACCTGTGTGTTGTTTTTCGCAAAAATATAGCATTTTCCAGGATGTTACCCTTCCCTTTAGCTGCTGGTGTGTTTTGCCTCTGTGTGAGCACACTGGGTCTCTACTGAGCCATTAATCAGCTGCTGGCTGTCTCAACATATGGTGGCCCTGAGACTTTTAACTCAAAGTCCAGTTATCAGGTGCCTGGGTTTCTGTTTTTTCGCATGACCACTAGCCCCTTGGGGAACCCTGTTATTCCTCTCTTAGAGCACCAGCCAGGTCAACCTTGAGAGGTGGAATTGCTTGGTCCATGGGTGTGTCCCCTTCATGATATAGTTGCTTTTGCCCAAGTGGCCTCCAGTAGCTACTCCCAGGTTTCTCTCCTACAGACGGAGCATGAGTATGCCTTACCACAGCCTGGCGGCATGGCACCCATTATCAGTGTGTAAATGATAGCCCATCTGATGGATGAATACCCTGGGTGTTTGCTATTATCCCTTCCTACTGTCAGCTGGGGGAGTAATTCCTGCCTGGACCTTAATTACTGGCTGATTTCCCAAGAGGTGTTTGGGGTATGCCTCTCGTGTCAGCAGGCAGAGGCGCCTATGGAGCCCTGTCCTCCCTCTGTCACACTGGGAGTGTCAGAGGCCACTAAGCTCACTGCAGGGCCTAGAAGCTGTCATCAATTGCTGGCCCTGCCAGGGCGCCCAGAAGTGAACACAGGGCACTCATGTCTCCAACTGTGTGTGGCCTCTGCATCTCCCATTAGATGCTAATTTCAAGCTCAGCCCCACATAGCACCGGCCCCCTGACAGTATATCATGGGCACCCTCCTGGTTCTGTGCTGGGGGTGATGATATAAATAGGGTTGGCAGTCATGGCTGTTACTTTATCAGAGCTTAGTGATAAGCTCTGATACCAGGCACTAGGCTGAGCACCCAATGCCCACTTGCTTCTCTCGTGCACACAATAGCCAGGAGAGGGCCTCGTGTCAATAGAGTGAGTCTTGAGGTTCAGAGAGGCTGGTTTCAGTTGCATAGCAAGGAAGTACTAGGGTCCATAACCAAAGCAGGCACCGCTAACATGCTGTCCAACTTTGCCCCTATCCTGTAAATGATACCCTTACCATGATACAGTCACACCAAGCACAGGGTCCTGTAGGCAAGGGGACCGATGCAGCTGTGACAGGAGCTGCTTGGGAATATAACTACCGGGTGTTGTCCTCCAAAACTGAGCTATCTTCTTGAGTTATTTCTGAAGTATCCCTAAGGTAGAAAGTGATACTTCTGCAGGAACTTGGGATGAAATTGTCCTGGTAGAGGCTCTACATCCTGTACCTGAACTTTCGGCTGTGCAGCTGCTGGTTGGGGCTGGCAGAATGGCCAGGCAGGAGGCAGCCACACAATAATCAGAAGCTCCTGCCTCTCCCAGTAGTTTCGCAAGTCATCTCCCCTTAAAACTCTAAAGAGCTTGCTTGGAACTGACCAGTGTTTCTTTCCCAGGACCTGCAAGCGCAGGACAGAGCCCACCGCATTGGGCAGCAAAATGAGGTGCGTGTGCTCCGCCTCTGCACAGTCAACAGTGTGGAGGAGAAGATTCTGGCTGCGGCCAAGTACAAGCTCAATGTTGACCAGAAGGTGATCCAGGCCGGCATGTTTGACCAGAAGTCCTCCAGCCATGAGAGGCGCGCCTTCCTGCAGGCCATCCTGGAACACGAGGAGCAGGACGAGGTGAGGGCAGCCCCAGCCCTGACCCCCTCCCCAGCGTGAGTGGTGAATGCATGAGCGGCTTTCATTTTTGTTTTTTTACCTTTTTTGCATTCTTATTTTTTTTGCATCCCTTTGGAGTAAAGGGAGTGTGGGCTGAAAGGAAAGAGGATGAGTACTTGCTTTTTCTTTGAAGTGGTTTTTTTTTTCTAAACTGCTGGTGAAAGATGCCGGATTGACAGCCCTGGAGACTGAAGTCCTCTATTTATCCACAGAGCAGACACTGCAGCACGGGCAGCGGCAGTGCCAGCTTCGCCCACACTGCCCCTCCGCCAGCGGGCGTCAACCCCGACTTGGAGGAGCCACCTCTAAAGGTGAGAGGGGTAGTTCAGTCTCCATGCCCATTCAATCCTCGGCTTCTCGGCTGAGACGGCCAGCAAGGGCCCTGATCCCACGGAGCGTGCGTGTGCGTGTGTGTGTGTGCCTCTCGCTGCTGTGTGGGTCTCCATCCACCGCAGCCGGACTGGGACCACCAGCTCATTTCCCATGGGTGCCGCCGCTCACCTCGGAGCCCGGCCACCACCCACCCTGGCCTCTCCACCCCCAAACTAATCATGTGAAATCTTGTAGGAAGAAGATGAAGTGCCCGACGACGAGACCGTGAATCAGATGATTGCCCGGCACGAAGAGGAATTTGACCTGTTCATGGTAAGCACCACAGGCAGGAGTTGAGGTTGGCGTTTCTGTCTCCCACACCTCCAGGGAGCTCGGTTTTCCACCCATATGAAATTGGGAGCCTGGAGGGGTTCATGTGTCCCGGCCATGATGATCTCAGAGCAAAAACACTTAGTTTTTTGGGTGTTGTCCCTGGTGGGTAATGGAGCCATAGGTGGCCTCACAATGCCTTCTAATTGACCCATCTTTCTTCTATGTCCTAAGAGTGTCAGAGGTAGAGGGACACATACCTAGCCATCCTTCCGTTTGTGACCCTCAGTCCCCAAATGTCTGCCCTCCTGAGTTTGTTGTCCTGGAGGCTCCCTTTCAGAGGATGTTAATTCTGCCTAAAGCCAAGGTGCTGACGAGGACCTTCGTCACCAACACATCATGCTCCTGGGTGGGACGGGCTTTTGGCCCCCCTTCTGCAGCCTCCCTATTTTTTACAGTTTTCTCTGCCCCTAAAGCAGAGCCCCTAGCCAGGGCCTGATGTAGGAGCCAGGCCACCTTGGCCATAGAAATACCCAGAGCTGCTATTTAACTACTGTTGTGGCATTGGTCCCTGAGGCAAAGAGCAGCCCCTTATCAACATGCCCTTTGAATGTCCCATTGGCTGTCCCTGGGCTGACGCTGCTCTCCTGTTCCCACCCTTCCCTCTCCCTAGCGCATGGACCTGGACCGCAGGCGTGAGGAAGCCCGCAATCCCAAGCGGAAGCCGCGCCTGATGGAGGAGGACGAGCTCCCCTCATGGATCATTAAGGACGATGCCGAGGTGGAGCGGCTGACTTGTGAGGAAGAAGAGGAGAAGATGTTTGGCCGTGGCTCCCGCCACCGCAAGGAAGTGGACTACAGTGACTCGCTGACGGAGAAGCAGTGGCTCAAGGTATATGCTGGAGAGGGCCAGTGAGGGTCAGGGCTGGGGGAGGAGAGGCACAACCACAGTGACTCGGCCTTTGTCAGAAACCTGAGGTTCCCTTCAGCCGTTCTTGGTTTTCATTCACTTCTAACATAGGGTCAGGTTTGCTCAGTTCCTCCTGACCAGATGCAGGAAGGAACACCAACACCATCCCCAAGCAGCTCAAAACTCACTGCTGGGTGAAATTGGCCTTTTCAGTGTGAGGGTTCACTTCTTCACAAGTCTTAAGTAAAACAGTGCAGATCATACTGAGACCATACTGAGGTCAGGTGTCCTGAGTGTCTGTCCATAGGAAACACAGCAAGAGATTAATGAACATACAGTCGCCCTGCGAGGTGATTGGAAGCGCTGACAGGGTCAGGGAGCCTCACTTTGGACACATCGCCCCAACAGCACGTCATCCTTAGGACCTGGACTTCAGGCCAGGCTGGGAGGAGGGAGGAGACTGCATCTACACTGAGTGCAGAGGTAATGATTAAAAATCCAACCTGGAAGTTATTTCATAAAAATGTCCTTGAAGCACCTGGCCGGTGTGACTCAGTGGTTAAGCATTGAACCATGCACCAAGAGGTTGCTGGTTTAATTCCTGGACAGGTCATATGTGAGGATTTCTCTCAGGTATATACTAGAAATGGAATGCTGGGTTGTGGGCTCATCCCCAGTAGGGCTTGCAGGAGACAGCCGTTGGATGTGATGTCTCTCTCTTCAATGCTTCTATCTCTCCCTTTCCCTTCCTCTCTCTCTAACATAATTTTTTTCTTTAAATGTCCTTTAAGCAACTCTTCCCAGAAGATAGGTGGTGGCTTTTGCTTTACCCTGCTGAGTGCCACATCCCAGAATGAGAGATGCTGCCTCTGGTCATACACCCTGGGGTTCTCCTGGGTTAACTGTGACCCTGTCCCTGCCTGGGAGCTTAGATGACCCCACACTTGCAAACTTGCCCACTGAGCTGTGCATGAGAGGGGCTCTTGAAACATGCCAGGGAACCAGGCTAACCTTCTTGTGTGGTGGGTGGAGTATCCTGTTTTCTGCCCAGGGCTCTGGGACCAGGAAGAAAACCCCTGACAAGGGAACTTGGGCCCAGTTACAGATCTGTAACAGCTTCTGTGGAGCATCACCAGCCCCACATTTTTGAGACAGTGGGTGCCTTTTGCCCATATGCTAATAATGTTTTGTACCCTTTTTTTTTTTTGAGGTATAATTTATATACTGTAGAATTCACCCACTTAAGGTGTACAAGTCAGTGGTTTTCACTGTATTTACAGATTCATACAACTATCATCACAAATCAATTTTAGAACATTCTCATCATCCCAAAAAGAACTCCTTTCCTCTTTAGCGTCTTCCTTCCCTTTATTCCCCCTAGCCATTGACCGTCACCCTATTCTGGACATTTCGTATAAATAGCATCATGCAACATGTGATTCTTTGATGTCTGGCTTCTTTCACTAGGCATAATATTTTCATGGTTTATCCATGCTGTAGCACATACTGTTTCTTTTCAAGGCTGAATAATATTTTTTTTAATAGATATATACCACATTTTGTTTATCCATTCATCAGTTGACAGACACTTGGGTGGTTTCCACTTTTTGGCTATTTTGAATAATGCTGCTATGAACATTTGTGTACAAGTTTTGTGAGGACATATGTTTTGATTTCTCTCAGGTATATACTAGAAGTGGAATTGCTGGATCAAATGGTACTTCTATGTTTGACCTTTTATGGAATTGCCAAACTCTTTTCCAGAGCAGCTGCACCTTTTTACATTCCCCCAAGCAGAATATGAGAGAATTTCTCCTCATCCTTGTTAATACTTGTTATTATCTATTTTATTTTAACCATTTCAGTGGTATAAAGTGATGTTTCTTTGTGGTTTTGAATTCCATTTCCCTGGTGGCTAATGGCATGGAACATCTTTTCATGTGTTTATTGACTACCTGCATATCTTTTTTACAAGTCTCTTATCAGATGTATGATTTGTGAATATTTTCTCCCGTTCTGTGGGTTATCTTCTTCATGGTGTCCTTTTGAGCACAAAAGTTTTTTAATTTTGATGAAGTCCAGTTTATCTGTTTTTTTCTCATTGCTTGTCCTTTGGTATCATGCCTGAGAATCCATCACCAAGTGCAAGGTCACAAAGATTTACCACTATATTTTCTTTCAAGTTTTAGAGTTCAGCTTTTACATTTATGTCCATGATCCCCTTTAAGTTCATTTTGTATATAGCTATAAGTTAGGGTCCAGCTTCATTCTCCTACATGTGGATATCCAGTGGTCCTAGTACCATTTGTTGAAAAGACTTCTTTCCCCATTGAGCACATGCCTTTTTATATGTCATACTCAATAAAATTTACACTAATAAAAAATATGTTTGCCCAAAACAAGGATGCTCCTTTCTTAGTGGTGGACGTGTAACTGGCACCACTTTTTTGATAGCTACTCTAATGCCCTGTTTGCCAAAATCCTCCAGAATCATCCTGGTTCTTGCCTTGCAGGCCATGGGACCAAAGATTCTGGTATTAGATATTCCTAGGGCTGTCATAACAATTACCACAAACTTGGTGGCTTAAGACAGTAGTAATTTATTCTCTCACAGTTCTGGAGGGCTAGGAGTCTAAAATCCAGGTGTCAGCAGGACCCTGTTCCCTCTGAAGGCTCTAGGGGAAGATCCTTCTTTGCCTCTTTCAGCTTGTGGTGGCTCTGGCATTCCTTGGCTTGTGGCCCCATCATTCCATTCTCTGCCTCCACCTTTATGTGGTCTCTACCCTGTGTCTATCTGTGTGGCCTTTTCAGTCTCTCATAAGGTCACTCTCATTGGATTTGGGGCCCACCGTAACACAGGATAAACTCATCTCACTCCATTCTTAAGTAATTACATCTGCAAAGATTGTTTCCAAGTAAGATCCCGTTCTGAGGTTCCAGATGGAATTTTGGAGGATAGTATTTAACCCACCTCCATGGGCCTGCAGTACATGCCCTCCCCCATGCCAATCTTCTTTCAGTCTCTCCTGTTTGCCGCAAGCCCTCCATGGTGCTTCTTTGGCCAAGATGCCTTTATGGATGCCTTTACCTCACCCCACCCTTCATTTCTCAGCTGCAATGCCACCTCCTCTAGGAAGCTCTCTCCAACACCTCCAAGCAGGACATGTCTCACCCTTCGCACCACTCACCCTTCTTCCTGGCACTCAATACAGTTATCACATTTGTGGGAAGTCTGTTTGGTCAGTGTCCATCTGGCTCTGTTCATTGCTGTGTCCTCCATGCCAGGCCCCCTGCCCATTTCATAGTCATAGCTGACAAATGAGAGACGAGTGACCAGCATATCCCTTTGGGTCCAGGCCCCACTCCCTTTTTTGATTCCAAGCTCACCTGGAAACCTGGCTTTTCTTCTTTTTGTTTTCAGGGATAAACATGCAGGTTACTTATTCAGAATGAATAAATCAGGATCATTTTAAAATTAATATGTCCTTCAACTCAACAGTTTCTCTTCTACTAATCTGTACAAAAAAGACAGATGTCAGTCATGGCATTATGTAGAATAGCCACACCCGCCACAAATAATGGAAATAACCCAAGCGCCCAAGAACAATTAAGGCCCTTTGTGTAACAAAATACTAAACAGGCATTAAACATTATGTTGCAGAAAGACGGCAGGAAATGTATCCAGGATATAGTAAGCAAAAGCATGAGTCATTATATGGTATGTGGTAACGATTCCATGCTGTCTTAGTTGTGCATATGTACATGGAAAGGGAAGGGAGATCCTGGATCTGGATGGTGGTGGTGGCTGCACACAATGTGAATGTACCTAATGCCACTGAACTGCGCACTTAAAACTTGTTTACCCCAAATTTTTAAAAAAGATGCAGCGGGTCCAGAGCACAAGTATTAAATATCACCTCTGGGTGGAGGGATTACAGGAGTCCGTTCTCATGGGCTCCACACAGTGAAGATACAACTCTTTAATTCTTAAAGTACAGCCTTCTGTTTGTGAAGGACAGACATGGGTGGGGTGTGCTCTGGAAAGGCAGAGCTAGCCTTTCATGGCCTTTCGGAGCCTGTGAGAGCCCTGGTGTGTGTTCCGCCCCAGCCAGACCCCACGGGTTTGCGCCTCGGCCTCTCCTTGTCAACCTCGGTGCTGGCTGTCCTATTTTACCACTATTGACCCTGAAGGCCATCGAGGAGGGCACGCTGGAGGAGATCGAAGAGGAGGTCCGGCAGAAGAAATCATCTCGGAAACGCAAGAGGGACAGCGACGCTGGCTCCTCCACCCCAACCACCAGCACCCGCAGCCGTGACAAGGATGAGGAGAGCAAGAAGCAAAAGAAGCGTGGGCGGCCACCTGCCGAGAAGCTCTCCCCCAACCCGCCAAACCTCACCAAAAAGATGAAGAAGATCGTGGACGCCGTTATCAAGTATAAGGACAGGTAAGCCGAGGAATTGGGCGGGTGAGCAGACATTGGGGGTCCTCTGAGGTGCCTTGCCTGGCCTTCCATGTGCCTGTGAGTCCATTAGTGGCTCAGTCATTCCACAGACATTGTTTGAATCTATGTGTTGCAATGCCCCTGCCCTCATGGAACTTACGTTCTGGATCAAGGGAGCATACAAGTGATGTCGGCATGAGGAGAGGGAAATAAAGCGTGGTGGGGAGGTCCAGGAGCCCTGAGGAAAGGAGATCTGGGGATGAGATCTCCAGCGAAAGCAACAGCAGGTGGAGAGGCCCCAGAATGATGAGGAGTGGCCTGCAGGTTTGAGGTTAGTGATGAGGTGAGGTGAAAGGAGAGGAGTTCTGTGCTATGATGGGCGCTGATCTCATGGCCAGTGGTTTATGATGGAGGCTGGAGTTACTGGAGCTGAAAGGGTGTGACTTTCCTTCTATAGACTCCCCACTCACTTCCCTGTCCCCATACTTATACGATGAGCAAGCCTGGTTTTCATGCTGGGCCATCGCAGGTCAGCCACATGTTAACTGACCGCACCAAATACAAGACAGTATGTGATTTCAGCTGCAGTGGATCTGTTGGTTGGTCACAAGTACCATTTAAATAATAATAAAATAGTGGTTCTCCCACAGCCTTCATAGGAGACGTGCACATTCTACCAGCGCAGGGTGCTGTAGTGTGGAGCTGTAGAAGGTGGCTAGGGACACAAGGCCTGCACCTTGCCCAGAACTTGGCTTATGCTCTCACTCGCTCATGTCTTACTACACTTTCTGGTTCATACCAGCCGATATGACTGTCCCCATAACGAGTTGTACAGCTTGATTTTATAGTAATGCTTTGCAATTAGTCGTGAAGCAAAGTAAGGGAGAACTTAAATCTGTAGGAGCAAAAAGTGTTGAGGCATAAGCTCTTAGTGCATCATTTGGTGGGACTCTTACTAAGCATGACATTTTGGGGGGGTGACAACTGTGGTATCCAAATAAAACATACAGTGACCTTTAAAAAGAATCTTATGCCCTGGCTAGTGTGATTTAGTGGTTAGAGCATTGGCTCACACACCAAAGGGTCTCAGGTTCTGTTCCTGGTCAAGGACATGTACCTGGGTTGCAGGTTCATTCCCTGGTCCTGGTTGGGCTGCGTGCGGGAGGCAACCAATGGATATGTCTTTCTCACATCAATGTTTCTCTCTCCCTCCCCGCCCCCCCTTTCCACTCTGTCTAAAAAATCAATGGAAAAATATCCGCTGATGAGGATTAGCAAATAAACAAAATCTTATTATGGCCCTGGCCATTGTGGCTCAGTTGGTTGAGCGTCACCTCATGCACCCAAAAGTTGCCTGTTGGATTCCCAATCAGGGCATATATCAGGTTGCAGGTTCAGTCTCCAGTTGGGGTGCGTTCAGGAGGCAGCCAATCAATGTTTCTCTCTCACATTGATGTTTCTCTCTCTCTCTCTCTCTCTCTCTCCCTCCCTCCCTTCTTCCCTCCCTCCCTCTTCCTTCCTCTCTCTTAAATCAACTTTTAAAAAAAAAGGACATATTCTTGGGTGAGGATTAAAAAGATTCTCTTTAAAAAAGAAAACAGACCCCATGTTTTTTTCTTAATGGTATTCTTGCAAGGGAAATTTAAAATTACCAAAATAAAGAAGACCCTTGAAGGTCAGTGAGGCAAGGATGGACAAAAAGTCATGCTGGTCTTTTGGATAGCCATGTAGACCTTCACCCTGCATCACATCATACACATATATTAGTTTGAAATGGATAATAGACGTAAATGTGAAAGGTAAAACAAAGTTCTAGGAGAAGGTATGGGAGAGAATCTTCATGGCTTTGAAGTAGGCATAGACTTCCTCAACAAGATACAAATGCCACTACCCTTAAAAGACTTCCCTAAAAGTAAGAACAACTGTACATCAAAAGACACACGCATGAAGACAGTGAAAACTCCTGCCACAGACTGGGAAAAGAACACCCAGTTTTAAAATGGGCAGAAGGCATGAACAGCCACACCTTCTGGAAGAAGATGTTTTGATGAGCAATCAGCATGTGAAAAGGTGCTCAGGATCATTGCATCGACAACATCAAATGAGAGTGAGATGCCTTACACACTGAACAGAGTGTCTTCAATTCCTTCAGGTGTTGACAAAGATGTGGAGCTGTTGGACCGCACACGCTGCTCAAGGGACGTGCAGCTCTTTGGCAGTATCTTCTAAAGCTCAACATAAAGGATGAACTTTCTGACCCAGCAACTCCAATCCTAGTTGTAAACCCAAGAGAGCTGGGTGCATGTCCACCAGAAGACTTGTACAAGCATGTCCACAGCTGGTTTGATGGTAACTTCCTCCAACGAAACAGCTCAGTGTCCACCCCTGGAAGAATATCAATGGTGGTCCAATTGTACAGCACAATTCTAACTGCCACAAAACCAGAAATGTCACTGCGCCTTGGAATAATCTTACATTTGTTGAGTGAAAGGAGCCAGACACTAATGAGTACCTACTGTGTGCATCCAGTTATATGAAGGTCAGAAGCTGATCCACAACAATGGGCATTTGAACAGTATTTACCTCAAGATGGAGAAGTTGACAGGGAAGGACCACGAAGGCGCTTTCTGGGATTTTGGGAATATTTTTTCTGTTAGCCTGATTGTATACATGAAAATGGTCATCAAGGTGTATACTTAAAGATGTGTGCACTCCCCTATATAAGGTTATACCTCAGCTTTAAAAAAACACTTGGCAACGGCAGCCTGAACTTGTTAATGAGGTGTTAGATGTTTTCTGACCCCAAAAAATATGTCAAATATCAGTCCACTTTTTTTTTTTTTAATATATATCTATCGATTTCAGAGAGAGGAAGGGAGAGAGACAGAAACAGCCATGATGAGAGAGTCATTGATCAGCTGCCTTCCGCATGCATCCCCCTGGGGATCAAGTCCACAACTGGGGCATGGGCCGCTGACCAGGAATTGAACTGCAATCTCCTGGATCGTAGGTTGATGCTCAACTGCTCAGCCACGCCAGCCAGGCTCAGTTCACTTTCTTAGTTGTCCTATGACTCACTAAAAGACCTTTCTTAGCCTCATATTTAGCTGTATATCATGCTCCAAAAATGGCTTCCGCAACTGTTACAGTTTTCTCAGCCTGTATAAGGTTTGAGTGAGAAATCAGGCAATAAATGAAAACTAGCTTTTAGGATTCAGTGACCCCTTGTTAAGACCATTCTATTGCAGAATGACAAGAACCTGGTAGGGATTCTGAGATCCAGTCTGATGAGGACACCAACACTGGAGTCACAGAGCTGCACTCCCAGCTGATATCAGACCCACATGGCAGGGCACCTTATCAGAGGGTGTGATGCATGGTTTACATTTATTCTCACATCCTCCTGATATGGATAGTATCACAGAACTGGGATTTCTCCATTAGACTGGGAAGAACTATAGAGGAATTACAAATGAGACAGCAAATATGACCATTAAAGGAAGCTACCATGTCTTAGCCTTGAGAAACATTTGGTTTGAGGTTGGAGCAAGACCTCTGCTTACTGTTTTGCCGGTGGTCATATAGAAAGAGTTCTCGCGCGCATATAAACTCAGGATAACAGCCACATATTCCTGGTTGCAAAGTTACCTCATCTTGCAGATGCTTTTAAAGATGATGTTTAGGTACAAAGTTGACTTATGTAATGGATAATATTTCTGATGTTCTTAACAAACTGAATTTGAAACCAGAGGGAAAACAATGTGGTTCATCCTGTTGTGAGGTTAAGTGCCATTCCATAGACCATCCTCACTTCTGACACCATCTGCAAAGTTTGGGGTCCCTAAGACCACCCTCAGGCTCGATTTTCTAGAAAACTCTCAGAACTCTCTGAAAGGTGTTATACTCATGCTCATAGTTTATTACAGCAAAAGGATACAGATTAAAATCAGCTAAAAGAAGAGGTGCATGGAGCAGCATCCAGGAGAGCTCCAGGCCTTGTGCTTTCTGTTATTCTCTCCCTGGAGGCCAAGATACCACTGACAACGTTATGAGACAATATGCACAGAGCATTGCCAACTGGGAAATCCTTGTTGCCTAGATTTTTTTTGATAATTTGGTCACATAGACATGACCGACTGCCCATGTGACTGACATGTCTCCAGCTCCTCTGTAGGTCAAGTTGATACCATGTAACCCAGTGCCCCTGCCCTAAATCACATTCTCAGACTATCTGGGCCCAGGGTACCCATCAGGCAGGATACTCCAGAGGGGTTGAGAGACAGTCTCCTAGGAGCCAAGGGCAAAGGCCAGACTCTTTCTGGGCCGGGTTAAATTTTTTACAACTACAACACACTGGGAAGATTGCAAAGGACTGGCCACTGTGCCACACCAAAGAACTGGGGTGGAATAAAATTGGAGGGTGTCTAACTCACACTTTCTTGTCTCAAGCTTTCAGTTACTCCATTCCAGAAAGAGAAAATGAAACATTTGTATTTTTTTTTAATTGCTTTCCAGAACCCTATAATTAGCTAAATTCTATACTTGAGTTCAATCTGGAGCCCAGGAGAGAATGAATTGTTACATGATGGTTCTTCCTAGATGCCAAAGAATGATATCAGGACGTTGTCAGTATTTGAATTTAATGTCGGGAGCCTGCCTTGTGGAGCAGGAGGGTGTGGTGCTGCTGTTATTGTCCCAGGTGACCACAGGTGGGAGCCAGGGTTGCACCTTGATGCAGTAATTCACTAGAAGTGGCTCAGCTGTGCCTCTGCTGCATGTCTGAGCAGGGCCACCTTTCATTCAGCTGGTATCACTCCAAATGTTGCTTTTCACTGTTTGTTTCAAGATCCCCCAGTTGTATTTTAAATACCAGTGCAATCTGGTATAATATTATCTTTGTATTTACATCCCCGTTCATATGAAGATAATGTCCTGTTTTGTAAGCTTTGCTTCCTTCATGTGTGTTCAGATTCAGGGCTGCCCTGCCCCTCCCTCCCAAAGCC